TTTGTTAAGGAAAGAACTTGGTAGTTTCCCCTTTCTTGCTTGCTTATTTATATCGGCCATTGGCCATTGTTGTAACTCACTTTTGAATCTGAAATTTCCATCAGTAATACACTTATGTGTTTGCTATTTTAAACCCCTAATTCTATATCTTAAGGGTGGTTACCTTAAGTGTGAGTTTTAGGTTCTAGTTATTTAAATAAGTGTGTTATATCTTATTTGAATACTAGATTCAACCCCAAGTTAGGAGAAGAGTGTGTAATATCTCTTAACACCAACTTGGTTTATCCAACCCTGATTTTCTTCCATTTCATACCCTCCCATTTCTCCTCTTAATCTTACTCTTTTCTTCATATAAAACACCAAAAGAACTCCTTCACCATCCCCATATTAATCCCAGCCATTCCCCACACAAACACCACTTTTGTCTGCCCTGATTTCAGATCCTGATTGTCTTGATAATCGATTATCACACATCAATAATCGATTATCTAACCCTTCAGAACACTCCTGGAATAATCAGCGAAGCACAATATTCGATTATCAACTTTGATAATCGATTGTTTGGTCCCTCTGAATTCTCGTCGTCTAGGCCATACAACCTAATAATCGATTATCACACTTGTGTCAATCGACTATCCGGCATCCCAGAAGTTCCTTCGTTTTGCAGCATCACTACATAATCGATTGTCGAATCCCATAATCGATTATTGCGTGTCCCAGAACTCTCAATCTAAGGCTGCATCACTCCTTAATTCCTCCTCAAAATAGTAACTCGTTAAGACCCCGGGTCTCGGGTATATCACAATGTATGCAAGAAATCTGGGCAACCTTTGTACCTTGAATCTAGTGCTTCATCATAGCTTACGAAAGTTTTTGAATCTCCGGGGAATCAAGAGATTAGAAAGTCATTTATTTCATCTGTGTAGTCATTTGCAGTAGTTAGTATTGTTCTACCCATTAACGTATATGGATCTTAGTGAAAGAGGTTTAGGTTTGGGTAAATAGCTGATATTAGTGATAATATTGAATTTGAAACATTAGTAGCATCAAGAAGGAATTGTGGTGGGATTTCAACAAGAATGACCTCACCTTGATAACAGCAAAACCCCCAAAGGTTCAAACTGGATGCGGATTGCAGTAGTTTTTTCCCTTTCACGATATATAAGCCGAAGCCTAAAGCTATTTGTTCATGCTGGTTACCCTCACAGGCTGGTTGAGCATGTCTTATAAATGAAACTAAGTGTTAATTAATATTATACATTTGATATATTCAATTCATAGAGTCTTAACAAAGTAATATCTATCCTAGAAAATAAACGTTAAAAAGAAAAAGGTACGGAAAGAGCACATTCAAAACAACCATAAAAATGAAGAGAATGTCGAAGGAGCGAACTTCATAACTTGATATTAGTGCCACAAAAATAATAATAGATGCAATATTTTTTACAAAATGCTGAGTAACCCTATGGATAAATTTAATATAAGGGCAGAAAATTTGGTACAAAATTTTTAAGCAAATTTGGAATGAAGAAAACCATTTCTATATTTCAAAATGCAGCACATAGTTCAATTGACCAAAGTACATACACAAATGGTTTGAGTAAGTTTCAAGAATGGTGAACCAATTAAGGACCAGGCAAAGCAATAAGCAAAGAACATATACCTTATTTCAAACCTGTGATGAGTGTTCATTTCAAAACTGAGATAAACAATGCGAAGAAAGATATTCAGGGAGTCCTAAATACCAACAATCTCTACATTAGCACTAATAGTTAGGATTTCATAAGAGAGATTTCATACTTTTTTTTAGAATATCATTATCATTATTCCATTAGCAGCAACAACATACCCTCAAGTATGAAAGCATATGAAGGGGGCAAAAAACAAATTCCAAAGCCAGGAACAAATATGTGACACTAAAATAATAAGTATCAGCTTCTTTCTAAAATGTAATGTCAAAACAAACCACAAGCATGAAACTAAATAACTTCCTAGACAATTTAGTTTGAAGTACAAAAGAATACAAACAATTGTTTTTTTAAAAGTTGTCAAGAGAACCACATATTACAAGTGCATAAGCATACCAAGCAAGTGGAACAGGATCAACAAAGAACACGAATTGTATTTAGTCCCTTGTATGAAGCATTAAGAACTTAAATCAAAACATTAACCATTAAAAAAATTCTAACTACAATAAAAACACCAATGAACAATCCAAAAAAATTAAGTGAAGTAAATGTTTTAAAATTTGACTTAGTAAATAACAGAATAATTTAAATATAAACAAAAAAAATAGTTCAGTTTTCAAGAATTTTTTTAACTTAACTTTTGATTCTGAAATGAAGTAGATCTTTTAAAAATAACAGTCATGGAAATAGAAATAAAGTTCTAATTTCAGAATTTTTTTAAACCTAAATTAACATTCTTAAATCAAATAAATATTTTAAAATATCACTCAATTTGTAAACAGACAGAATAGGAAAAATCAAAACTTCTTAAAGGGACTTAAGTTTCAGCCGGTAAACCTAATAGAAAAAGAGGCAAAATTCAATTGTGAATGATATTCAAAAAAGGTGTGAAATTGAATTAGCAAAAGTAGAAAATTTGAAAATGGGATAATTGATGATTCCAAAGACGACATTGATATAGAGGGGTATGTAAAATAACAAAGAGAAGGGGAATACCTGCAAACCCAAGAGCAAGTATGCATGTGAACAGGAGAGTTGAAGGAGGACAAAGATATAAGAATGGGCTTGTCCATCGTGGGACAGTGAGCGACAATGAAGCATCGTGGGGCGGTGAGCTGCGAAATAGTGGGCAAGTAGAATAGACGAGATGTGGGTGAACACTGAACAAAAGTGCCGTTACATGTGGACGAGAAAATGGTGCCTAGGGTGAACAGTACACTCGTTACATTTGACGGAAAAAAGGCGAGTAACCTTCTTAGGCCCTTATAGTATTAGGGAGATCTATTAATGCATGGAAACGTCACCCAAGAGTGTGATATGGCCCAGGGAAGCCCTATCATATTAAATTAAAGATAGAAGTGATACAACAAGAAGGGGTGGGCTTAGTCCCAACAAATGCCCAAAGAAGAGGAAATGAGAAAATTACGGGTGGGGGGGAATAAATGTTAATAAAATCAAACTCAATTTTAGAAAGCAGAACTTTGTTGGCTTGTCCATACTTTTTCATACGCTAAAGGGAATTAAAAAGGACAAAATGGATTAAGTCAGCTTCCAAATAACTTACCCAATATACAGTAAGTTAACAGTCCTCTGAAGAACTCACTCAAACCATAAAAATGATAATCTTCTTCTTCTTCTTCTTCTTCTACTGGGACCTGAAATTAGATTCAATTAATACTCATCTTCTTGATCTAATCCTGCTGCCATACCTTTCTTCAAATCTTTTTCTTTGATGTCTTTTTTTCGACTCATGGTCGGGGATGTGATGGAGAGGATTTTGTGGCTTCAGCTTTTTTATTGAATTGGGGCCGCAATGCTTGAAGAATTTTCTTATATCCTCAGCATAATAATTGTCATCACTATCTTCTAACAACAGGTTGAATCTTTAAACTACACGCTGCAAAGCTTGTTACCAAGAGGGAAGATGAATAGAAATGCTAACCAATTGCGACAATCGTTTCGCACAAGTGTGATAAATAAAAATAAAACACGGAAGATAATGTGAAATATAAAGCAGAACAAGAACACACAATCTATACAGATTCGACCTACTGCCTATATCCAGTCCCCTAGCACAATTGTGTTTGAGATTCTAGTATACTACCCAACAAAACTTAATGGTGTTTGGTAAACCTTACAACACGAGAACTTGAGTCACACGAACCTCTAGCCTTAACAGCTATAACGTGCTAACACAAGTCACATGATTTCACCACTTGATGTAGTCCCAACGTCAAGATTCTAACCTTAAGTTTGATCACACAAACAAAATTGGATTTTACCCAAACCACTTGGCATAGTCCCAACACCAATTCTTCTTGCACCCTTTAACAAAGGATATACCGACAGAGATTGCACAACGAAACAAACTACTTGATGAGTAGATTGCTGGCAAATTATAGAACTTATTGGAGTATGGCAATTCTTTCTCAATAACTCAAGCAAATAAACTTGGATATGTAACATGAGTTTTACTAGGACAATGCAATGGATTTTCTCAACAAAGATTGTAGAAATCTTGATCAAAGTCAAGGAATATTATATGGAACTTTCGTGGCTAAAAACTGTGTAAAAAATGACAAACATGTGCATATTTATAAGCATGAGTGGTTGAAAAAATATCACGAAGATAAAAATGAGGTTTGATTTGTAGGAAGAATCTTTTGTCTCAAAACGGTTGGTGAACAGAAAAATGGAGTAATGGACTATTATGAAAACAAAAGAGAACAAGTTTTGGGTATAGAAGTTGAAGGCCTTCAAAGGGAGTTTGGCAGGGTTTCAGCAGAAACGACAAAACTGCCTCTTTTTAGGGGCATTTGATCCCGGGGTTCCATATATTCCATTAGCTATCCTTAACTGCAGATACAGGAGGTGTTGACTTGGATAAAGGAGCTGGACAATTTAAAATCAAAATTCAAGATGAATGCTTTACAAGTACAAGCAGAGAAATCCAGTGTGATACAATGTTGTGAACATAGGGGAAACACTGGCTTGGATGAGGAGTTTGAAGTTTTGAAGAACGCTTTCAGAGTCAACTTTGATAACCTAACAGAGCTACCTTCATACAGAAACGTGTTTGATCCTGGTATTATACCTATATCAGTGGCCATCCTAAATATTTTTGGCCATTCAAGCTGAAACCACCTCACAAGTCTCTTTAAGGAGAGAGCAATGATATGGCAGTTCAGGAGTAGTTATGGTAGTTGGGGATTGTCAGGTGGTGAGGCATATTTCAATTGTTTCTATAAATACATTGTATTGTTGTAATTGAAGCCTAATCAAGAAATACAATCAAATTCCTCCCAATCTCTCTCTCCATAACCCTCTGCCTCTGCCCTCTGGTTCATTTCTTTCTCAAGAATAAAACCCAGGTTCATATCTTTTCTTTAGCAAGGTCTTCTTGCTACAACAATGGAATCATAGGTTTAAGAAGCAATCAGATCAGGAACTCATGTCATTAGTGATTGAATATCAGTAGTGCACTTCCTCTCACTTTTATTAAAAAAACATAACATATCCATTGAAAGAACATTAAAAAACTTACAAAACCTGTAATCAAAACAACTGAAATATACGGGAGTATGTTATTAAACCCAAGTACCATTTTTAGTAAGGGGCACTATGATTTTTTCAAATTGTTATTAACTTATTATGCTTTGGAAAAATTCATCCATGGGTAAAATCTTTTTAATAATGCCCTGACCATTGAGATCCTTCCTCCATTGAATTTAATTATAAATTTGTCCTTTTTTTAATAAATTTGTAATCGGAGAACATTGTCGACTGATATATGCTCTAAATGTGATATAGTGTTAGATGTCATCTCGAATGGGATTGCATAACTGCTTTTGACTAGAGGAAGAACTGCACATTCAAGCTTTGAAATCCCATTATATCCAGACAAAGTTCTACTTGCACCATAATACACGGATCTCTATTAGCATATCTGTCCACGAAAGCAAAGCTTATTACATGGGATGAAACGCCAATGACACACAAATACTATTTTGAAGCCTTAGAAGTCTATGTCATATTCAATGGTTTGTCTATTGAGTGCAAATTAAACATTTGAAGAAAGACAATCATATTTGAAGGAGATCTTTGGCAAATATTACCGGCAATTCCTAAGGGAATTAGAAAACATATTGTAAATGCTACCATGAATTCTTCCTACATATGGCCGGATTGCATTTTTCTGCGCTTAACAAAGAACATGTGCCTACAAACAATGGATGAGGTTAGATTGGATTGAATGTAAACATGAGAGCTCAGTTGATTTCGCGAATTGGATTGCAAGTATTAGCGATGGCCGATGAGATTGCCATAGAAGAGAACAATGGATGTCAGGATGTGCCAATATAATTCTACCAAATGGCATCTTATTAACAGGTCAAGTGATCCTATTGCTTCCATAAATAGTACGACTTATCTAGACTTTCACAAGATAGAAAAAGAGAAAGGCTATTTGTTGGAACATGCAATTATGTCTCCAACATTAGATGTTGAATCCATCAAGGATAACATGACATCTATGAATCCTACCAGGGAGTCTAAAACTTAACTTAATATCTAATAAGGGAAGGAATCATCTCTTTCATCAAAGGCAATCAGGGAAGGAATCATACTGCATTGGAAGACATAAAAAAACAGGGCACTGAATATTACGAGAAACTTTACTCTAAGGTTGACACTAGTGATCCTACAGATTTGTTGCATTACATTCCCCAGCTAATTAATGAGGCAGATAGCATTCACTAATCTAGTAATCTCCCCTACAAGAATGTTGTTGAGGAAGCAGTTTGGAGCTAAAATGCCTCAAGTGCTAGTGGAGCTGATGGGTTCAAATGTTGGGATATAATTGGGGATGAGTTTGGAAGGCAACTTAAGAATTCTTCTTGGGATCACCAAAATTCTTATGGCAGTAACCTTATATCTTTAATTCATAAAACTAATAATGCAATCATTTTTTACATGCCTATAAGTTTTTCTACCTTCATGATCAAATCCTTATGGCTTCAGAAATGGTGCATAGCATGGAGAGGGCAATGGAAAGGGGACAATGTGTTTGTCAAACTTGATTTAGTAAAAGCTTTTGCTATGGTATCTTGGTCATATCTAAGCGCAAAATATTTGGGTTTTCCAATTAAGTTGTGGATCTTCTTATAGCTAATCTAGAGTGTTCCAAGATTCCAATTATCATTAATGGGCAACCTGTAGGATTCTTTGGTATTGAGAAGGGTGTAAAGCAAGGAGACCCTTTATCCCCTTTCCTTTTCATTGTAAGTGCTGACATACTTATCAATGGGAAAGCACATGAGGATACTTGAAAGGCTACAATCTGGGAAGATTTCAACCAATCACACATCTCTCATTTGTTGATGATATCATTATTTTCACAAACGGAAAATAAAGGACTTAAACACACTAAAAGGGATTTAGGATGACAATCTCAAGGGTAGTTGGCAGCCTATAAACTACACTAAGAGTAAATTTTATTGCAGCCCAAAAACCAGGAATGAAAAGATCTCATATAACTAACATATTGGTATGCAACAACGAGCCCTGCCCTTTAAATACCTTGGAGGGATTGAACAATTCATGACGAATCAATTAACAATTTGATAAACCTTGAAGGTTGAAAAAGGTCAATTATGATGACTTAATTAACAATTTGATAAATACCTCAATACATGGTATAGTAAAACCCTGAATCAAATGGGTAGAGGCTCATATTGATAAAGCATGTGCTCTCCCCGACTCCCCTAAGAGGCACAAGTGTGGAAATTTTCAAAAAAGAAAGGGTGTGGGTGCGGTAATGGGTGCAACAAATGCCTTTATACTTCATATATATATTTATTTCTTTGTAAAATACATGTATTTATGTTCAAAACATACACAAAAGAAAACAATTATCTTAATTTTAAATAAATAACGCATGTGACATCCTAAAAAATAGATAGGAAACATAATATAAGTCACACAATAATTAAGAAAACATACAGAAACACCCAATAATCGAGCAATGTATATGCAGGGACAAATGGAGGAAATTTCAACATAATTAAAAAGATAGAAGAACTGAGCAAGTTCCAAAAACAAACCCAAAATTGTTAAAGATGCAAAGTAAATTTAAAATAACAAAAGGATAAAAATGGAAAAAAAGAACAAAACAAAAGCAAACCCTAGAGACGAAGTATGACCAAATGTGCTTAAAAAACAAAATCAAACAATTTTGAGGAACTTGTCAAAGGACAGATCTGACCTGGCATGACCCTTCTTCTCGTTTCCGTTTTGCGACCGTACAAAAGGCCATCGCCGAAGACTCCCTATCCATAGCAGTTCCAATTCGCCTCATGTGCAATCCATGAAAAAAGAAAAAAACTACAAAACCACCCCCACCGCATCCAAGGAGCACCCACGCGCACCGATGCACTCAGACCGGAATGGTGTTTCGTGCGCTTGTATTTTTCCGCATTTATGTTTCCTAGGCTCTCACAAATACCATTGCATATATTCATCGTTCAAGAGATACCAAAACCAGTCTTAAAATGTTTCAAAAGAAAGCTAGCCGCCTTTTTGGAAGACAGAAGGAAGGGATGAAAAAACACCATTAGAAATCCTTGGGACTCCACCTGTCACTCTACTGAGGATGGCTTGGGCATAACAAAGTTCTCTAATGAAACAAAGCCAAAGCCATCTGAACTCTGGAAAAAGTACTCTAATGCACTAAGCAGTCCCTTTTTTAGAGAAGGCATTACTATCAGACAACACTTGCTAGAATGCTCACAGTAAAAAACACTCTTAAGGCATAATCTATTGGGCGGTTAGACTGAAAAATTACAAGCCACATCCATGAAGGAACTTTCAAGCAAGAGAGAGATCAACTACCTAATTCAGACTAGGAGAAAGGGTAATAAATCAATTGACAAAAAGTTTAAAGATTCAGCTTCATCTTCCATCCATTTATTAGTTTCTTTTCTCATTAGATTGTACTCCAACATTGTAATCTGCTCAAACTTATTAATAAAGTTAATAAAGGTTCCCCACATATATATAAACTTACATTTTGTTTTTGTGTAATTTGCATACATAGCCATGGATAACTATATTTTTTGGTACATATATGTTTAGCAAGTGATTCATTAGCATGAATAAATAAATATGGCAAAGTTAAAGCCATAGGCATCTTACTTCAATCGAAGAAAAGAAGTGAATATTTACCTCAAGTTCTAGACCATCGATCAAAGTTAAATTTGTGATAATACACTTTGTTTGATTTGTTGAGCCAAGGGCGCAGTGGACATTGATGGTCATCCCAACTCCCTCATTTCCGACACAAAGGCATGTAATGATCTTGCAAGTGCAAGCAATAAATGTATTAATTGAAATGATGTCGTCAAATTTGAGGAAGCTATTAGACATTTCATATGTGCTAGAGAGATTAAAAAGATTGGAATTGTATGCTATTGCAAGTAGAGATGCATCATTAAATTCCTTAGTTATTCTTTGTGAGCATTTGTAGATTGATAATTTCAAATTGGGTGCAGCACCTATGGTCGTTCACTCTTTAAGATGGTGTAGTTTCAAAACATAATCATCAAACTTTCGTGCTAAAACTGAGGCCCCTCATTTAGTTCAACGAGTACTAAGGCCCCTCTTGTACCATGACCACAAGCATAATTTATATCAACACTTTCATACACATTGTGTTTCCTTACATTATTATAAGCCCTCTTCTCAATTACATTCATACATTTATGAAGGGCGAATAGGAAAAAGACACATTAAAGTAACATGATCTTGGTTTAGCACTATTGAAGTCCATTGAATTATTAACAAGACTAAAAAACTCACAATGGAACGATACACTTCACATTTCGGAAAAGGTCGAATTCAATGATGTCAATCACAAGTATTTTTATATGTTTTTATTTCTGGGTTTCCTTCGAAACCGTTACTCTCAAGTCGACTGCATCCATTGATGTAATAGTAGCTAATTTGAGTTTAAAGCGATTATTTTTAACATGTGCCAGACACAACTCACACAAGAGCATGAAAACCCAAAGATATTAGCAAATTTCATAGAAAATTGACTTGAAAATTGACATGGAATTTGAAAATGCATTGCAATCTGGTGACCTCTCCTCTCCATAATTTCACTCCCAATATGGAATGTATCGCTTTTTCTCAGTTCAATGTTTTACAATTGTGTAAAAATAGACTACACGTGCATTAGTAAGACATATATAGAAATAGAGCATGAACTTTTGTTTTCTTTTGATTTCGTAAGTTCAAGTTTTAAACTTGTTACGATAACTCTTGATGTTGGCCACTCATGTTGTCAAGTTTAAAACTTGAACTTACAAAATTAAAATAGAACAAAAAGTTCATGATCTATTTTCATTCATGTCTTACTAATGCATGTGTATTCTACTTTTACACACTTGTCAAACATTGAACTGGAAAAGAAATATAATCCATATTGGTAGTTAAATTGTAGAGAGGAGAAATCACCCAAAATGCAATCCATTTTCAAATTCAATGTCAATTTTTAAGTCAATTTATCTACGAAGTTTGCTAATATCTTTGGGTTTTCATGTTCTTGTATCTTTATTTGCAACTATACAAGATAATGCACATGTTATAACTAACTGCCTTAAACTCACATTAGCTATTACTACATTTATGGATGCAATCGGCTTAACAGTAACAGTTTAGAAGACCAGAAAGCAAAAACACATAAAAGACTTGTGGCTGGCATCATTGACTCCAGACTTCTCCAAAATATGAAATGTATCAACCCAGAGTGTGGTTTTTTAGTTTTGCTTACAATTCGATGGACTACAAAAGTACTTAACTAAGAACATGTTACTTCAATGTGTCTTTTTCTTATTCGCCCTTCGTAAATGTACGAAGACGGCTTATAATAACACAACGAAACACAATGTCTATGTAAGTGTAGATATAATATGCTTGTGGGCATGCAGTTCAAACTGGAAAGTTTGATGAATATGTTGCAAAACTCCATCATTTTAAGGAGAGAATGGCCAGAGGTGCTGCACCAAATTTGAAATTATCAATCTACAAATACACAGAGAAGACCTGAGAAAATTAATGATGCATTTCTAACTGCGATAACAAACAATGTCAATCTTATTAATGTGTCTAGCACATATGAAATGCGTGATAGCTTTTTCAAATTTGACGACGTCATTCCTATCATCGCTTGCACTTGCTGGATCATGATATGCCTTTATGTGGGAAATGGAGTTGGGATGGCAAGCATTGTCCCACCATGACAACAAATCAAACAAAGCGCATTATCAAAAAATTAACTTCAATTGATAGCGCATAAATAAAGGCAAATATTCACTTCTTTTCTTTAACAAAGTAAGACGTCTATGTCTCTAACTTGGCCAAAATTAATTTTCACGCCAATGAAACACTTGCTATATATATGTACCAAATAATATAGTTATCAAGAGCTTAGTATGAAAAAAAATGTAAAGTTATATATATTTGGGGAACCCTTATGAACTTTATAAATAAGTTCCAAAAGATTACAATGTTGGGGTACACGTTAATGAGAAAAGAGACTAAATAGAAAATAAAGCGTGCAACAATTGTAAAAAAAACAAACTAAAAATGAATGGAAGATGAAGCTGAATCCATTTAAACTTTTTGTCAATAGATCAGTTACCCTCTCTCCAATTCTAAATTAGGTAGTTGATCTCAGCTCCCCCCTTGACGGCTTGAAAGTTAATATTCTTCCCTTCATGGATGTGGCGTGTAATTTGCTTTTAACTGCCCAATAGACAATGCCTGGTTTTATAAGTTTGAGATTGCCTTTTAAAGTGTTTTTAATTATGAGATAACCACCATTCTAACAAGTGTTATCTGATAGTAATACTTTCTCTAAGAAAGAAACTTTCAAGCGCATTAGAGTTCAGATGACTTTGACTCTGTTTCATTGAAGAAGTTTGTTATGCCCAAGCCATTCTCAGTACACATACCAGAAGGGCAACTAGCTTTCTTTCTAGACATTTTAAGACTGCTTTTGGTACCTCATGAACAACAAATATATGCAATGGTGTTTGAGAGTGCACATGTTTTATCACTATGATCCTACTCATTGATTCGGGGTTTTATTATACCATGAATTGAAGTATTTATCAAATTGTTTAGTTCATCACAGTTGGCCTTTTTCAACCTTCCTTTTGTGACAATTCCTCTAGGGTATTTAAAGGGTAGGGTTCATTATTGAAATATCCGTGAGACCTTTCTTTCTTGGTTTTTGGGCTGCAATAAAATTTACTCTTAGTGTAGTTTATAGACTGCCCACTAATCCTGAGATAGTCATCCTAAATCCCGTTTAGTCTTTGTAAAGTCCTTTGTTTCCCATTTGTGAAAATAATGATATCATCACCAAATGATGACAGATGTGTGATTTGTTTAATTCTTCCCAGATTGTAGCCTTTCAAGTATCACTCATGTGTTTTGCCATCTGTTCTGCCTCCTTAAGGGTGGCAAAAATGTTGCCAAAATGCTCATTATTTCAATGATCTAAAGTTTCTTTGAGTATCTATAGTTTGAGAGTAAATCCTCTCATACCCCTCCAAAGCTTCCCATGTTCCGCCTTTTTTAAATCCAGAAATTCACCATCCTTGGCCCCTTATGATCATTGCTACTGAAGCTAAGTAATAAAGGTTTATGATGTGAAAGAATCCATAAGTCGATTGGTAAATAATTTATATATAGTATTAGTCATATTGTAAAAAACTCAACACTCGCAAGATGAATGACTTACTTATTGTGATTTTAGTTCAACTAATGTTATAAACATTATAAAACAATGTTAAAATCTCTTCAAGTTCATTTGTTACTTTTATCTCCTCTGAATTTGGCGCTTGCACAATGTGCATGCGCATATATCCGTCTCCTAAGTATCCATATGTTATTATAATTTGCACATGGGGGTTGTACATTGTATTTTACATGCATACTACGGCATTGGTGGTGTAATGTGTTTTATCCATATCAAGTATCATATCAACGTGGTCAATGTGTCTACTATGTATAGTGCAAGAACCTTAGTTCCCCACGAACCACAAGTACTGTCTGGTCTGAAATTTATATAATGAATGTTGTTATGTCTTAAGTTTGGTACATTTCAGAGTTAATAAACTAACTTTTCATCTTGCAACACAAATGACTTCTACTTACGTGGCAAGTCCAGTCCATCGTGTTGTCTTTGATATGAGTGATCATTCTCGTTGATGTCATCTATTTGGTTTTAGCATAACCAATTTCTTTACTTGATGGATGGTGGTTTATTACACATCACTTTTTCCTTAGAGTAAAGGATTCGGAAGTACTACCTATAGAACAGATCTTGTTCAAGTAAGGTCGTGTTTATTACACACCACTTATTTGAAACTAGAAGCCGATATTTAAAAATTAAAATGTAGACCCAATTACACTAATTAGAGTGCTTTGCTACGAACTTGTTACGTGTAATCACTCACCATTTGAAATCCTGGGACTCCATATGTCAGTGTACCAAGGGTGGCTTGGGCATAACAAAATTCTTGAATGAAACAGAGTCAAAGTCATCTGGACTCTGGATAGAGTACTCTAATGCGCATGGTAGTTTTGTTTTAGAGAAGACGTTACTATTAAACAACACTTCTTAGTTGTTATAATGGTGGTAATCTCACAGTAAAAATACTTTAAAGGCAATCTCAAGCCTATAATACCAGATATAATCTATTGGGTAGTTGGCCACATCCATGAAGGGAAAAATATTAACTTTGAAGCCAGCAATGAGGGAGCTGAGATCAACTATCTAATTCAGACTTGAAGAAAGAGTAACTGATCAATTGACAAAAAGTTTAAATGGATTCACCTTCATCTTCCATCCATTTATTAGTTCTTTTTATAATTGTTACATGCCTTCTTTTTTATTTGGCCTCTTTGCTCATTAGCTTGTACCCCAACGTTGAATTCTTCTGCAACTTATTTATAAAGTTGATAAGGGTTCCCCAAATATATATAAACTTACATTTTGTTCATACAAATCCATGGATAACTATATTCTATGGTACATATGTGTTTAGCAAATGGTTCAATGGCATGAATATTTAATTTTGGCCAAGTTAGAGCCATAGACGTCTTACTTCGTCAAAGAAAAGAAGTGAATATTTGACTCAAATTCTAGGCCATCAATGTCGTTTTGCACTTTTGAAATGGAGCGTTTTAAAAAATTTTGAGAAATGACTTGGGTTTTAGTCCTATTTAGTGCAAATTTTTCAATTTGGAAACCAAATGCAGAGAATCCCCCACGACAACCCACACAACTAAATTTGGAGTTCGTAGCTCAATCTTTCCACCTTATAACGAACAACAGTTGATAGACAATGACCAACAACTAATCTGTGGAGAAGACATGGCTAGGCACAATGGCGGCAACTCCCTCACAGTCTCCAGCAACGGACATCGGCGGATAGCAGAACAAGGCAGATCAAGAGAGAAAAACAAAAGAAAGAAAAGTACAAAAAGAATGGAACCACGCAAGGAATATCACAGAATCATTCCATATCAATCTCTAATTTCCTCACCTAAATTTCAATTCCCAAACTCAAGCAATCAAGAGATTCAACAATTCAGGTCACAAACTCAACATCAATTGGCAAGAATATACGAATAAATCCTTATCTATGAATCAATTCTAACGAGAAATACCACCACTCACCTCGATTAATTTGGCAAACAAAACACAAATGGAATCAATATAGAATTCCACGAGCAAAGTTCTGGAAATCTCCTCTTCGTGGGAGGTTGAGGCGCAAAAGGAAGAAAAAGATGGATTCAGCCGGTAGGAAGAATTGACAGGAAAGGAGTTAAACTTGGGTTTTGGGGCTTGCGGCGTTTAGATGGTGTTTGGCTTATTTCTCCACCACTATTTTTCAAATAGAGCACTGTTTTGAAAAAACAGTTATGATTTGTTTTTGCTTTCAACTTTTGTGTAAATCACTTTATCTCTAAGTTAATCACTCTCAAACATCCTAGTATTAGGGAAAGAGCAATTTAGAATTTGTTTATTTATTAATTTAATATAGAAATTTTTTCTGTGTCGTTGTCTTGCGGCGCTTGGGATCTGCCAAGAGCTTAGCATGCAATGGAGAAGAAAATGAAGCCTAGATCATAGGAAGGAAAATGGTCAATTGAAGGAATTTTGTATATAAAGAGCAATATAAAGACTGAAAGAGAAAGAGATACTCGTGTCCGCATGGGTAGCTCAGTTGGTCAAGAGCGTGAAATCTTGGACCGATGACCAGGGATCGAATCCCGCAAGCGGCAGTGTGGGAGCTATCCAAAAATCCCATAAAGGGTGAGGAGGCTCCTTGTGCGCGGTGGGCACGGGTCTAGCGTTCTTGGCCGACTGAGTCACCATGATTTACATCCTCCACCATTCCTGTCGGATAAGGGGGTGGGGGTGCCTGGGGTGGGCGATTCCACCTTTTGGACAGAGAAAGAGATACTCGTACTAAGGTGGGGCGGTTGAGAACAGAAGTGGTGGATGGATTCAAAATAACGACATAATAATGGGTCGTGACAACATAGATAACTGCATAATACTTCAATTAATAACCACCTAATACTCGGCCCATTTCCAAATAAAAGTTGAGCGAGAAAAAATCCATTTGGTCGTCGTATCTGGTTTACAAGTCGCCTGAGTGTTACATGAGAAGAAAGCAGAGAGACGACAAACGCCGGCTAACACCGTTGGAGGGGAAAAATGGACCATCGTATTTCCCGCCCATACGCAAGTCATTGTGAGCTATTGATCTTTGAAAACATCACCATGATCTACAGTTGATATAAAATCTTACATTAATCTACACCTAGAGGAAATAAATAGAAACTGGTAAGATCTGAAAAGGGAAATCCGAGGGAATTATTTATTGTCTTTCCATCCGTACACTTTTTTATTGGTTTTTATTTTTCCTTACCATATTTTTAAATAAAACGAATTTAATAATGAAATATGGCAATAACAAAAATGGTAGTAATTTAAAAAAAGAAAATAAGAGCAAACCGTGAGTTATATTGTTTCTTATTTTTTTCATTTTTGTGAATAAAATCTGTAATAATAAAAATAATAATGTTCCCCTAAAGCAGGAAATAAATTAAAAATGGTAAGGTTTAAAAGGGAAATCCGAAGGAATTATTTATTTTCTTTCCATCCGTACACTTTTTTTGTTTTTATTTTTCCTTACCATATTTGTGAATAAAACAAATTAAATAATGAAAGATGGCAATAACAAAAATGGTAATAATTAAAAAAAGAAAACGAATTATTTATTGTATTTCCATCCGTACACTTTTTATTGGTTTTTATTTTTCCTTACAATATTTGTGAATAAAACGAATTAAATAATGAAAGATGAATAAAATGATAATAATTTAAAAAAAACGGGAGCAAAACGTGAGTTGTATTGTTTTTTTTTCATTTTTGTGAATAATGAACAAAAATAATCTACACCTAAACATGGAAATAAATTAAAAATGGTAAGACTTGAAAAGGGAAATCCGAAAAGGGCAATTTTATGGCTTTCTACTATTAATCACTTTATTGAATCTCTTTGTTCAGGGGAAACCGTCTAGATTGTACGTTGTGGGCACATCATATTGATAAAGTGGTCGAGGGACTCAATGAAAAATTGACAAATCCACCCATTCTTTGTTTGCAGATGGTGAAACCTAAGCAACATAATGGTTTCACGATTATATATTCTTTTAATACTATTTCTTTTTCGAAAATTCTTTCATGCCTAACAATTGTGATAATTAAAATTCGGGAAAAGTCTATTTCTACCTTTTATAATGTGAGTAAAATTGTGCTTAATGAAGACTCAGACGAAGTTAAAGACTTCAAGATAGAGTAAGTTAATATTTTTTATTTTATTTATGGTTTTGATCTAACAGCTAAATAAATTTCCTTTTACTGCATCATACAGGTTATTGTCGTGTGGTGGAGATAATTTATCTCAAAGTTGCAGCATTGTATCGACGCAATCTAGACCTAAAACTGATCCACGCAACACAAAGATGACAATATTCTCCATCTGAGATCTCAAGGCTATGAAAATTGTAAGATAATTATTTGATACAAATCTTTGTAATAGTAATCAACCAAACCAATTCTGAAGCATCATCAATATTTGTCCTTCGAAATTAGCTCCTACTTCAGTAGTAAATTCTTTGTACTTCCAAAATATTTTACTACTAATAGTTTCGCCATATTACTTTCGTAAATGTATTTTTATGTGGTGTCAATATTAAACTAGATCTTAAATTTTTTTTATACTGCGTGTAAATATAAATTTTAAATTCTTAACATTTTGTTCATTATCGGCTGCATGTAGTAAATTATTGTTACTTCCAAATTAACAACTACTTCAGTAGTAAATTATTTGTCCTTCCAAAAAATTTTACTACTAATAGATTCGCCATATTACTTTGTAAATGTACATTTATGTGATGTCAATATTAAACTAGAGTTTTAAACTTATTTTTTTACTTTTATAATGCGTGTAAATAGAAATACAACGAGCAAATAACAAATAATGTAAAGCTGAATAAAACATTCTAATCATTTTGTTGATAATTTATTATCAAAATATATTTTTTTGGATTCTTTTCACGAAATAGGGATGTTCGTTACAATACACAAATCGAACTAAAGAGGAATCTTTTTTTCCTAGACTTATATGAAACCAATGTATTCTTCTAATATGCCTTAATAATATATTTATTATTATTTGCACAAGGGATATTATTGGATAATTGGTGATGTGATAGAAATTGAAAACACAGTTGAATGGTGCTACCTTGGTTGTAACACATGCAACACTAAGATTATTCCAGATGGTTCCCGATTTAAATGCAAGAAATGCAATAGAGATTATCCCGATGGAGTCTATAGATTATAAAATATTTATATTTTAAATTTAAAAAAAGTTATTGACATTTTTAAATTTGAAATAAAAAGTATATTCTATTAAATAGGTACAAGGTCAGTGTCTTCATTATAGACAACTCAACAAGTGCTTCTTTTACACTTTGGGATAAAGAATGTGTCAAGTTACTAGGCGTGCAGGCTAGCGCTATGAGAACCTTGGTGTGTGAGGTATGGAAATTCAACTAAAATACTTTTAATAGGTATTCAAATAATATGTTTGCGTAATTATATATGCTAATTTATAACCATGAATGTCATAGCGGCATAATGAATATGAGAGCTTTATTCAGTGTATTTGTATGGAAATATTGAGAATCAATCAGCTTATGTCGGGAATAATTCTTATGGAGTCTTATGATCTTATTTGGGACAAGTCAATTGTCTCCAAGTACGAAACTAAAGAAGCGGACGATGATTTTGTTCAAATGTGTAAGGAACATGATAAAGGCACTCAGAGTCTTGAAATGGTATTTTGATAAAGACTATATATATATATATATATATATATATATATATATATATATATATATATATATATATATATATATATATATATATATATATATATATATATATATATATATATATATATATATATATATATATATATATATATATATATATATATATATATATATATATATATATATATATATATATAATTAACAAAATAATTTGTAAGTGCAAATTGGTTCTAATGATCGTTTAAAGGTTTTAGGACAGCCAAGTACCTCAAAAATGAGGGATGTTATAAGCTTAAACGAACCGGTTAAGAGGAATTTAGAAGATGAGTTCAGTTCAAGTGCAAGTAACAAGAAGCTAAAGGTTGTGAAAGTGGAGAAATAATAAAGAGGAATATTGGTGGTTTTAATGGGTTGTTTAATACATTTATTTCCTATCTTTTTTGTTCTCACAAATCATCTTAATCATTGTGATTTTGTTTTTCTTTTATTTAAATGTGTGTGACTCATTATGTTTCAATTTTTAATCTTGCTTTAGAACCATGATCAATGAATTGATGTCCTTTTCTTGAATATAGTTTTTATTACGTTCTCTATTTACATTGCATATGAACACCAATGTCTATCATGAATGTGCTTTAGAAGAATTGAAATAAAAAATAAATAGAAACACGATAAATAACGCATGGGGAAGTTTGCATCTGAATGCAAAATTTTGAAAACAGACCAGGTTATAAATAATAATCCCTCCGTCCCCCTGTATTTAGAACATACTACCTCCGTCCCGCTATATTCGTCCACTTTTGACTTTTGGAACTGTTCATCTAAACACTTTGACTCATCAAATTCTCTCAATGTGTAAGCCTAAATATAGTCATGTGTGATCTTGTTTGATTTGTCTTAACATATAGATTATTAATATATAATTTTTATAATTTTTTAATATACAAATTACAAGATAAAATGGATTGAAGAAGTGCATTGGATGGTGTATAAAAATGAAAGTGGACAAATACAGCGGGACGGAAGGAGTAATGTGTAAGGTAAATATAATCATGGGATAGTACCAAGGTGATACCCATATAAGGTAAATATTGGAAATATTGATAAATAGTTTACTTTTTGGATCGTCAAATGCGTATTTCCATTTTCAATAAATATTTAAATTAGTTATTGAATAAAATTGTAATTCTTTGATTATACATACGCAGAACTTTTCTAAACATAAAATACTGTTTTTAAAAAAATGACTTGTGGTTATTAATGTTTATAATTTTTTAATGTGTATGAATAAAAAAAATGGTTAGTTTCTATATTTGGGAACGTCAATAAATTAGACCCACATCATGATTATTGAAATTGGAAATTTTAATTTAAAAATTATGTCTTATACGTACACAGAACTGCATTTCCGACGGTACGCAATATTTGCTCTAATAAAAAGAATCAAACGCAGTACACTTATAACCATGCGCATGACCCTAGATTTAATATTTGTTATGCATGCACAATCAATAATTGTATGCATGCACAATCAATATTTGTTATGTGTTGATTTATCTTATAGATTTCATATATATTTCTAAGTGGGTTAATTTTCGTTGGAAAATCAAATAACAATTCTAATAAGATTTTTCTAAATGATATAATAACTTTCAATACCATATTTTGATGCTCCATTAAAAAAATAGATTATAAGAACCATTTGGTGAAACAAAATAACCTAAACTTGAATGCATATGACAACACTCTTAAAGATAAATAATTAATCTCTGACAAATATTGGGATAAAAAAGGCCATACCTGAATGCATACGATACTTGAATGCATACCTGAACATATTTTAGAGAAAAAAACCAAATTAAAATCCTTCGGACAAATAATGGATTCCTTCAAAAGACTTTTAGAGTTTGAAAGAATATGATAACAGCCCTTGGATAAATTATAAATCAAATCTTTTGACTTATTCAATATGAATGCAAACTCTTTAACTTGTTGATTCTGAATGCATCCTTGGGAGAATTAATGAAGCAAATCTTTCGACTTATTAAATCTGAATACATATGATTCCATCAAAATTTTGTTCCACAAAATTGCTTTTAGTTTACATAACAAAATATTGTAAGACTAAACACATTAGATATAGAAGAAATATTTATCAAAGATATCTCATTCGAGAGGTTGTGGAACATTTTTCAAAATTTTCTCGGAAAAATATTCCTCTCCCCCCAAAACCAAACACACCATTGATCCCTGTTATTGTAATATTATGCCTGTATTTCTGTGTGATTCATCACATTGAAGCTCTTACTCTTCAATTATCATATGGAGTTATATATGAAAAGATATAAGGGAAGTATGTCAAGATTGATATCTGGGAACCAAGTGAAGATAATATAGTTTGGTTAAGGGATAGAATTTATTCAAAAAAGTATTTAAAGCTTAAGAGCATCCCGAAAGGAAACTGAGTCTTTTAGCTCTGATGAAGATAGAACGGGAACATCATTTCTGGACGAAAAAAACATAGGAACATCATTTCCGGGCGGAGGGAGTATGAATTTTGACTGTATATGAAACAAGCTTACCTTGGTAGAGTTTTAAAAAAACCCCTGAAATATGTTTCCTTCAAGGATGAACGAATATACATCATTGTATGAATTTTGACTGTATATGAAACAAGCTTACCTTGGTAGAGTTTTAAAAAAAACCTGAAATATGTCTCCTTCAAGGATGAACGAATATACATCATTGCGCCTGCCAAATCAAATAAAATCAATAGAGAATATACTATTGAATTTTAATATAAATCTATTGAATTCACAAAATAATACTCACATTGTAACACCCCAACCCATGTAACCCAAATAAATAGGTTAGCAAACCGAGTACAATATTTTTCAATTGAATTTAAAAATAATAATTTAAATACATATCAGAATTTAAATACATATAATTTAATCAAACATCAACCTTGTTAAATTCCTGGTCCATACATCTCCTCCGTCATACTGCTCTTCAGGATGGATTCCAGAATCAATCTCCCACAGCCACCAACGTGTAACAAAGGGGAAAAGGAGGCTACAAGCTAAGCAATGAAGCTGAGTTAGAAATATCTAACAATTCGAACATACACGTAGGCGAATCCATTAATTCACAATCATCACATGACATCATGCACACAACATGCATAGTAGACCTGGCAAAAAGTGACCCGACCTGTTTTTGACCCGAAACCCGACCTGAAAACACTGGGTTTTGAACAAAGGTTTTGATGACCGAACCCGAAGTTGACCGAACCCGAAATGACCCACTAAAAATGGGTCAAACCCGACCGAACCCGAACCCGACCTGACCGACCCGCTAAAGTAAGAATTTTTCAAAATTGTACACTTTTTTTACTCGTTTTTAGTGTATAAATTTATATTTTCAGACAAAATTTTAATGATATTGCATAATTATCTTACTTTTTCCCCAAAACATAAGCATTTTTAAATTCCTTATATTGATTTTTATATCTAAATACTACTTTAGAGTTTACAATAAAATAATTTTGTAGATTTAATACTTTTTTTTGATATTTTAAATTTATTAATGTGAATTTAAAAATTTAAATAACCAAAGTCATAACCCGTTGGGTCGACCCGAACCCGATGACACTGGGTTATGAACATAGAGTTCTCAACCCGAACCCGAAATAACCCGAACTTGAAGTGACCGAACCCGAACCCGACCTGACCGACCGATTTGCCAGCTCTAATGCATAGCAACAATTATGCAGTATACAAGGTTTAACACGCGTAATCAACATCATAACAGTTCATACGATACAACAATAACGATATGAGTATTAGGAACTTTCTTTTTTAGTTTACTTTACTTTCCTTATTGTACTTGGCTCTTGACCTACGCTAGATTAAAGCTTAACTGAATTTGACTTGCCTATGGAGTCAAGACCTTGCCCTTCGGAACGAAGGTCAAGCTCAAACCAACTCGGGAGTTCCTTGTTGAGTAGGTGAGATCTTTGTACCCTTCGGAACGACAGTTCTTAGATCCTCGTGTATACATTTTTACCCGAACAGCCATTGGACTCAGCAGGTACCACATGGCTCCAACTTACTATACTTTTGGCATACTTTGCCACTAATCCATTCAGGTCTTTCCTAGGTGATATATCCAACATTCATTAATCAATACATAATATAACATTCACAAATCCACAATGCATTTTACAAAATATCCAACATAATCAAATAGCGGTCTAACACTTGGTGTAAGCACCCATGTTTACCGTCTCAGAATCAATCCTTGATGAAAATACAAATCAACAGACCGCACCTATCACAGTAGGGGGTATCGTCTTCGCGGTACCTAGGTACCGTTTCTACAGTACCGGGGTACCGACCAAATCAAATGAACTCTTCCGCAAGGACTGCCACGGTAGCCGACAACCGACAAGGCGGTAAGGCCTACCGTCCGTCCGGTACCTAGGTATCGTACGATTGCAGCTACCCGCACAGGCGAAAGCAACCAAAAGAGTGTGACGGTAGCATGGTACCGTCCTGGAGGTACCGCCTACCATCTGACGCAACAAATTTCATACCAAAAAATTGCTGCTGGGTACCCCTAATTTTGGGATAAAGACTAGCAGGTCCCATTGTTTTTCAAAATATACTCCGAGGTACCTTAAGATATTCGAAAACTGACTCCGGGGTGACAATCCGTCATTCTCTCCGTTAACATTTCTTCTCCGTTATCCTCCTCCTCCTCCTCTTCTCAAAAAATTGCTGCCAGGTACCCCTTATTTTCGGATAAAGACTGGCAGATCCCANTTTCATACCAAAAAATTGCTGCTGGGTACCCCTAATTTTGGGATAAAGACTAGCAGGTCCCATTGTTTTTCAAAATATACTCCGAGGTACCTTAAGATATTCGAAAACTGACTCCGGGGTGACAATCCGTCATTCTCTCCGTTAACATTTCTTCTCCGTTATCCTCCTCCTCCTCCTCTTCTCAAAAAATTGCTGCCAGGTACCCCTTATTTTCGGATAAAGACTGGCAGATCCCATTCCTTTCTTCTTCTTCTTCTTCTTCTTCTTCTTCTTTTCTTCTTTTCTTCTTCTTTCTCCTGCCTTCCAGAGTTCCAGTGACCTCCATTCCTCCCCCACCCCCGTTTTTTCTTCTTTTACCTTTTCTTTTGTTTTTCTCTTCTTTTATTATAATTATTATTATTTGTTAATAATTATTATAATTAATTACTTCATAATTATTATTTTCTTATTCTATTATTATTATTATTATTAATTTTTTGATTTATTATTATTAGTATTATTATTAAAAATTAATTGTTAGTTTTACCACTCTTTTCTATAAAAACACTAATTGTTATTTAGAAAAATAGCACTTATTATAAAATAACACTTATTATTAATACTATTATTTATTTTAAGCAATTAATTAGTAATTTTACTTCTATACTTTTTTAAAAAATACCACCAGTTATTATTATTACTTCATATTAATTACTCCTCTGTTCTAGAGTATTTGTTTACTTTTGTTTTTTCGGTCAAAATTGATAATGCTTTGTATTTCCTATTATTTCCTTAATTATTATTAAAAGTTAATTGCAGAGTAGTAATTTTATTACTCTATTTTTAAGAAATACGGAGTAACAATCATTATTATTTAGAAAAATAGTACTCCGCATTAGTCATTGATAGTCGTCATTGGTAATGGTGTCATGGTAAATCGAGAAAACAAGAGGACTTGAGAAAGAATAAGATGAAACAATAAAAATAGTTTTAAATTTAATGTCTTGTAAAGATAATATGAAACAATAAAAATAATGTTAAATTTAATATTATTATGAATTACGACGTATAATTTATAATTTAATTTTATAAATGATACGTAAGTTCCCTCTTCAGTCACAAACATCATATTTTAAATTCCCATGAGTAAATTTTTTTTAAAAATGGGACCTGCCAGTTTTTATCCGAAAATAAGGGGTACCTGGCACCCCAGATTCAGTTTTCGAATATCTTAAGGTACCTCGGAGTATATTTTGAAAAACAATGGGACCTGCTAGTCTTTATCCCAAAATTAGGGGTACCCAGCAGCAATTTTTTGAATTTCATACTCATACCAGTTTTGTTTTTCAGCATCAAACCAACAACATTCTCAAAACAACAAACACCAATAGGTTTGTATTAACATTCTAAACATTATCAACCATATTAACTCGTCAATCAACGCCTAAGTCATGCATACTACCTTTCCGATTCAACGACAATGATTCCCAAAATCATAACCAACAAGATAAATCACATAGATCGACCACGATAACAATTATGAACTGAATTTCAAACCTAGATGCATATTCTAGTATTAGATGTCCACGTATTCACCTCGATTCATTTTGATTTGATTCAATTCCGGAGAACATAGCTCAGATGCTAACATCGGAGCTCCCGTTGGACAGAGCTGGAAACGCCCTCAATTGTTGCTGACAGGAACTGCCTGCTGCCCGAACTTTGTTGCAGGAGCACGGAGGTCGCTGATTCGCGAATTGGGTCACCACAATCGCAGAGATCGCCGGAGCAGAGAGAGGAGTCGCCGGAGAGGATTGCCTGCGCCGGCCGCTGGGGGTGAGGTCGCGTCGCCTGAACCCGCCGCTGGCTGCCGGAGCTGCTGTCCCGACGTCATCACTGGTTTACCGGCGGTTCGCTGCGACGCTGTAGTCAGTCGCAGGTGTCGCTACGTTGTTGGACTGAAGCGAAATTCCCACGTGGTGCGGGACGGAAGTCGCCGGGTCCATCTATGCAATCGTCTTCGTTATCTGGTGGTCGTGCCTTGCTCAGCATCGCCGAATCGAGAGAAACAGGGAAGGGAAGGAGGCGGCGATCCAAAGAAGGAAGATAGCCTGGCGGCGTGAAAGAAATATTTGTAGAGCAATGCCGGCTACACCATGTACCCTATTTGTCCCACACCTCTCTTGCCACTCAATTTTATTTTATTTTTATTTATATAATTTTTTTAGTCTCTTGCCTTTTTTTTGTGGTTATGAAGGAAGTGTGGGACAAATGGGGTACACCACCATTTGGTGTACTCCTAACATTTTTCATATTTGTATGACTAGGGTTTTGTGCTCCTTATAAGGTGTATGACTAGAGTTTTGTGGTCTTAATATTTGTGCTCCTTAATTAAAACATACTTAATGGACTAACCCCACTAAGAGCAACTCCAATGGTGGGAGGTATCTTGGAAAAGTATATATATTTCATTTACCACTCCAAGTGATCAAGTTTACCTTTCCAAAAAGTGTGCAACTCCATTGGGGGGAGGTAAATCAAAAGGCAAAAGAGGGAAAAAATCCATCTCCATATATTATTGGAAAAAAATTAGTTGATTTACCTTCTTAAATCAAATTTTAATTATTAGAAAAGAAAATATACATTCTTAAAAAAATCATGGGGAGGTAAATTCGAGTTTTGTTGCCTTTGTCTCTTCTTGATAAAATTTTTAAATTTAAATATTTTATAAATATACAACTAATTTATTGGGGAAAAAAATTAGAATGTCAGTTTTGAAATAATTAAATATACATTATGTTTAATTGCACATGTAAAATTCTAAATACCCGAATAGAAAACACTAAAAAATACAGAGTGCAAAATTAAAAAACAAAGTATCCTTTTTTTGTTAATTCTTGACTCGTTAAGTTTTACAATTACAAAAATACAAATTAAAAATTTATAACAATACATTCAAGCAAAAATACAATAACTAAAGTAATTAATTGATAAGAAAAATTTAAAAGGTGGGAAAAGTTGATATACCTCCCCAAATGAAGAAGATAAAGATATCTCTTCAAAATTGAAGAATGTATAATACCTCCTTATTTACCTCTCCCATTGGAGAATAATTTTTAATGAAAAAAAGGTATATATCACAATTATTCTTCTTTACCCTTTCATATACCTCTCCCATTGGAGTTGCTCTAACTGTTCTTGAATTGAGATCCGTTCATGTCATTGGGTTCAATTTGTTGATCCTCACCCAAAAATATAACTTTTACAATCAATCAACATGTATTTACAAGTTCCACCTGATCCGTCTTAATTCTTTCGATTAATTAATATTAATGAGTCTTTTAATGTAAATTTTTACAAATATAATCATATTAGTTTCGTTATATTAAGACGATTAAAATCTCTAAATTGTCTTTTAACTCTTTAAAAGAATATAGATTGTAGTACATAAATAATCCTTATTTATTTAATTATCGATTAAATTCTAGACCTGTTTGTGGGGCATTACACACATGCATCAGGTGCTCATCGATTGTAGGTTTTTTGAAGGGGGTGATTGAACTACTCGAATAGAACATATGTAAATGAGATATGATGAAAAATGACAGAATTAGGAAAATGATAGTAACGGATGAGAGATCGGTACATTGGTTTATGTGAACGGAGGTGAAGATCGAGAGAGCGGTGTCAAAATTGAGAAGATAAAGTGGGGATAAAGATTGAGATAGATGCTGATGAAATTCGAAATGGATTATCAGAAGAGCTCCGTTCAATTTTATTATCAATGGAGATGAAGATCGGGTGAAGGAATCCTAAAACGAAAAATAAAAATGAAGATGAAGATGAAGATAGATGTAGATTATTAGGAGTGAGCATCGGGTTGGTTCGGTCAGGTTTCGACCCAAAACTGAACTAACCAAATTTTTTTCAATGTATAAAAACCGACCAAAACCGAACAGTTATATTTGAATAACCTACACAACTGTAACAAATTAAACCGAACGGTTACGGTTGGTTATTTATAACCGAATTGTATATCACCATTACAAGAAAATAATTTGAGAATTGGGTTTGGGGGTTGATTCTGCCAACAAAAAATCTACTACCACTCAATCTTCAAAATGCACAAAATTCATTTTCTTCTCAAGATTCAATGTTATAATTACTTGATATTCTTTTAATGGAGAAATTCATTGAAATAATCCCAAAACTCATTAAAAGAGTACCTTTTTGCCTTCGTGAGTAGAGATATGGCCGTCTCGAGTTCGCCGCTACTGACGACGTCCTCTGTTGCCTCTATCCCGTTCGTGACATTGGTGGCTACCGGCGATGAGAGAGGAGATGGGCGGCGACGAGTGGATGACGGAGATGACAGTGGAATCGGAAGATGAAGAATGAAATAGGGTTTGCCAAGTTGGGTTAACTCAAAATGAAATTACTCTACTCTTACTCTTTGTCTCTCTTGGGAATGTATTCAATTGGGAGTCTGCAGGACTTTTTTGGACTTTCAAAATATCAAGGTATTCAATCTAGATTTTCAAAAATCTTTAAAAATCTTGACGTATTCAATAAAGATTTTAAAAAGTTTTAAAAAATCTTTAGCTATTCAATAGTTAATGAATTTTAATACTCCATACATTTTGTTGGATTGTCTCCCAAAATACTGCTTATCTCAAATCCGAGCATCATATTTTTATGGACTTTTGGACGAAGCAATTGTGCAGATCACATAGATCTGGTTTGTGGAAGCCGCCACTAGTGAGTCCTGACTCTGAACACGGGAGCGATTGCGGCCCACCCATCACAGTTTCAACCTCGGCGAGAATAAAAGGATGCCGAAGATATTTGGCCGGTTCTAGGATTCATTGACAAATGATGATGACGACGAACAGCAACTCACAAGGAGAGGCTACCATTTTCCTCTTCCTGAATTTGTGGGCTCTTCCTGAATTTAAAGGCTAGGGCGGCAGTAGTGGGATATTGAAGCTCAAGGACCATACAGCAACTCACAAGGGGAGGCCACCATCTCTTGAATTTAGGCCTCATCCCCTGATAGAAACCCAAATTGGGCGTTTCTAGAATGAATTGACGCTATCTTTGGATGGCGCAATAGAAATCCATGGAGTCTATGAAATCCATGAAAATCAATAAAAAAATGTTGGACAAACTTTACATGGAGTCTATGGATTTTCCAAATTCACTAACTTTTTATAGTCTAAAAAAATTCGATACAATCTCAATTGAATTAATACTTTTGGGCCTTTGGATGGGTTGAATCAAATTGGCATTTCACTTTTGGATTCTTGGGTGATTTTGTTCGGTTTTTTGGTCAGTTTTACTAATTCAAGATCCAACCCGAAATCCGAACCGATAAACCGAACTGACCGAATTTCTAGAGCCTTACTAACCAAAACCGAAACCGAAAATTTCGGGCGGTTCGGTTTTTAAGCATCGGATAGACGGTCAGTTCGGATAATATGCTCACTCCTATAGATGATGATGGATATAGAAATGAACGGTGCGCTGATTCCGCCGAAGGATGAGGCGGATAAATAAATGACATTTTATTCTTCGACCCAAATTGGACAAAGTTTGAGCTTCAATTAATCTTAATTTGCATTACATACTAGTGAAATAAAATAAATTGTTAAAATTTCTTAACAACATAAATCTAATAATATAATTTTTATACTAAAACACATTACATTTTTGTTTAATTGAAGCTTAGAGTTTATTCGGTTTGAATCGTAAAAAATTAAAACTAGACAGATACACTGGGAGGATGGAGTAAAATAGATTGATTAATTATCTATATTCTCATAAAAACTCATATACGAAAAAATTACGTGAGATTGAAAAATAAAAGTGTCACATGAACATTTATTATTTTAATTAAATGATTTAATTTTTCTTATTTTTAAAAAATACATGTTCATTTGAAAATAATGGTATGCTCTTGTTAGGTAGATATTTTCATTTATTTTCATCTGTTGTCATTACTCATTTTTTTATTTCATGAAATAATCAAGAGAGGAGAATGTATGTGCAGTTCAAAAAGAATGTGTTTTGATTGAGAATGTGTGTGAATGTTTTAAATATTAAAAGTAAAAAAATTTAGGATATGATAGCAAGAAATAGTAGCTTTTTTTAATACTGTTCACTCTATTAGAAGGTAGTATCTATTCATACTATTTTCAAGCTAATGACGCACAAAGAGCCAATGCTACTGCCTTCGTTAGGGCTCGAACCTGAGTAAACTTCCTCATTAATCCTGGGGAGTGGGCTTGCTACCACTCAAGCCAGGAAAGAAGTTCACAAGAAATAGTAGCTTACCTTTGTCAAACCTAATATTTTTGGGAGAAAAACTTAAATAGAACTCTTAAAGTCTTAAAATACTCTAAATAGAAGTGTTATATGTTTCGTACATGTGATTCCAATGTTGCACTTTAATTAAACAACAGATGTTCATTACACGCTGCCAAGAACTAGGATTTTTTTGTGCAGTGTGGTTGTTCACTTGTGACTGTGTAGTGGGCAGTGTAGTTTTTTTATATATGTGGCAGTATGGAATTAATATATATGTTGTTATATCTTACGCTAGTGTGTAAATGTATTATTATGTTCCTTAATTTCATGTTGTAGTGTAATGTCGTTTGATTTATGTGACAGCATTTTCATGTATAAAATCTATAATATCAAAAAGTATACGACTATTTTCATGTACGAATTCCACACTGCCCAAATAATGTATAGCTCTTTTTATGTATGAATTCCACATTATTTTCATGTATGAATTTCACGCTGCCAAAAATGTGTATGACTGTTTTCATATATGAATTCCACACTGCCCGAAAATGTATGACTCATTTCATAAATAATCTATTACACCAAAACACACAGGCCAAACATGGGCGTTTAATATAAAACTTAATTTAATACATATGAACTTGTTTAGGCATTATACATTGGTAAAATGTGTATGAGTAGAATCTCACAGAGTTATGGTAAACGACATAGGATGATGTTCTCACACGTATGAGATGCACAAATGAGGAGGAGCCGCACGTATGAGGAGGAGCGGCTACGTGAACAACCCAAGTTTAATCAAATAATTAAAAGTAAATAAAAATAGTAGAATAAAATAAAAGGTGGGGGTATGGTTGAAAAATATTGACACTATAAGTTGCTAAATTGGTATAAAAGATTAAGGAGTGCTATATGGGTAACATTGAGTAACTTAAAGTGCTATGCAGCGTGATTTCTTAATATTTTTCTACATATAATAATATCAAGTATTGGAACATGGATCAAAAAATCACGTGGGTTTCAATTATCATAAATAAAAATTAGTTACAGTTTTCTATTTTTAAAATCAAAGTTTAAATAATCTGAAATATAATGATTTAGATTATAATAAAAATATAATTTGTATTTATGGTAAAATAAGATTATATTGCTTAGACAATTATTTTTGTAACCGTAATAATTTCAGATATTGGGCGCACCGTTCATCAAAGAAACAATTTTTCCATTAAAAGGTCGAGTTCGTTTCTTCGAGATTTGAGATTTACATTAGAACGTCACAACATGCTAGAGCCATTAGAAGAAACAGATGATGGTGAGTTGTTTACATGAACCACGTGTAAATTTAATATATGTCAATAACGTTCTACCATGTGTGCATGTCTACGTCGTATGTCGTTATTGCAACATTACGGTTGATGATCTCATTCCATGAATGTTCTCACTTCAGAATTACCTCGATGCATATTCTAGAAGTGTTTTGCCACTACGAAATGAAATTGAATGACCTACTATAGATTACGAATTAGTCCGACCAATTACAGGACAAAGGTCGCATACCGGTCGTCCAGTGAGCACCTGTTTCACAAATAATATGGAAATGCGATCACGAAGGCATCGTCGTGGTATTTTGTTAAGTTATAAATTTATATGTGGATTTTTAAATATGTACAACAACTTTTATTTGTATACTTTTACTTTCATTAGTTGTGCATCAAATGAATACAAATATTATTTCTGTTCAAAATTAATATGAATATCTAAAGAGTGGAAGTATTAAATGTAATATTTTTAAATAATCCAAAGACTAACGGTACAACCTCTACTGTTAACTAAAAAAATATCATAACGATACTGGCTCTTCCGTTATGTATTATGTCAGACTACCCAGAGCACTGTTAGACACATTTTCACCATTTGGGAATGGATTTTTGAAATCTTTTTGACAGTTCGTGCCAGCTATTGTGAATGACTGTTTAGTTTAGCTAGTTTGACTGGCAGGATGAATTGGTTGATCGTTAAAAATGTTTGGTAAAAGTAGCTGTTTGAAAATAGTTTTTCATATATATATATATATATATATATATATATACATACATACATATATATACACGATATTTATTTTTCATATTTTTTACATGTAAAAATTAAATCTTTACTATATAGAATATTAAATTTTACTCTTATTTAATTCATAATAAATTGTTAATATACAACTTTTTAATGATTTTTACTTTTTTATTTTCTCATTTCATTTTTTTGAAATTTTGAAATTTTATTTTTTTTAGTATTTAATTTTTTTAACTTTTATTTTTTACATATATTATAAAATATGGTAATTTACCTAAATAGGACTTAAACATAATGACTTTCTCAATATAGGATCATATGTTTTTATTTCCCAATTTAGGACCATTGGTCATTATCTATTAGTCATTATTCAATTAAATGTCTAGTACCAATTAGACATTATTCTTATCACTAGTCATTATTAAGTCCTATTTAGAAAATAAAAAAGTTTAAGTGCTACATGGGGAAATGACTTATGTTTTAGTCCTATTCAGTGCAAATCTTACTATAAAATATCTTTCAAAAACAATAATTTTAAAAAATCTAAATTTACTAACAACCAAGTCCAAATGATGCTCCACTTGGCATTTCAAATTTTGATTTTTAAAATCAAAATGCAAGTAAAAAAATCATTCCAAACAAACGCCACGCCAATTCGCCATCCCACAATCGCCTACGCCGATTCCACAGAAGAGCCGCCATCGACCGCTAATCTCCCATTGCCAACCTAGAATAGCCGCCGTCCCCAACCCATCTCCCCTTTTCCGCCGCACAAGAGCTCAAGCCACTGTTCCTCTTTCCGCCGCCAGTGATTTGGAGCCGCCGCATGCTCTTGATTGCTACAGGAACATTTTGGTAGAAACCTCCATTTTTGTCATTGGGAACAAAAAAAGGTACTTCGCTTTTTCTTCCTTCAGTTTTGGATGCAAATTTGGGAAAGCTAATTGCATTTTATCACATAAAGAGGGTAGGTAGATAGTTGCTCTCTCCGTTCTATATTTTTGTTCTTGGTTTGATTCGGATAGCTTCTTAGTAGAGTGGCCATTGTGTTGTTGAATTTTGTTTAATTAGGGAAAGGAGTTTGTTTTGAGTAGAGCCTAGATTTTAACTCGTGCAATGCACGGTATAAATTTTAAAATAATAAGTTATGTAAAGTATTAATAACTACTAATTTAAAGATAAGTTACTATTGGCTTGTATAATATCAATGCTTGCAATGTTTTCCATCAAACAATAGCGTTTAACAAAAATAAAACAGAAACATATTGTAAAATCTAAATAATTTCTTTATACACAACATTTTCAAGTGTGGTCCAAGGGAATATTCTCTTCATCGCCAAGTTAAGATTTTCAATCTTTGTCAATTCTTCACTCATGAGATAGTAACTTAAGATGGATCACGGTGAAAAAGTAGATTTTAAATTAGTAAGCAACATGTAATAGAGTTTGTTCTTGACTTTTGTCAAATGATATCTTTGTCAATTCAATAAGGGTATGTTTGTTACCCCAAAAAATTAATAGGAGTATTTTAACACCTAAAAGTTTAAAGTTCCATAGAGGTATGTTTTTTAATTCATAACAAAATTTATTACGGAGTATGTGAGAACAAAGGGAGTGAAGTAGTAAAGCACCCCAATGAATGGTCTTCTTCATAAATTCTCCATTCAAAACCTTCCATGAATTGGTGCAGACAAATGTGATTAAGTTTTTTGGTTGCAACAAATCAGGATTCCTGCTTTGGCATCCTCATGTCAACAAAATTAGTTCTTTAGACCTTTCCTCCACCTCTACTCTAAGTTTTAAATCATCCCACCACTAAAGAAGTACTTCAGCATCCCTCTCCAAAAACTCACAGTAAAGCTTAAAAGCTTCTTGAGCTTTGCAGTATTCTTTTCAAAGTGAAGTCAAAAAAAGAATCCACATATCTATTCCAATACTCTGCCATTCTTTAGCTTTAGATATATGCTTCCTCTCTAAAAGATTAGTGTATCTTAAATGTCACAATGCAATTCATTTACCATAGAAATATTGTATAAAAAATACTCCAAATTACTTGCAAATCCAACACTTAAGCACTCAAATAATATATTTAGTCCATTAATATACAAAATCATTTGCTTTTCAAATTAAATAAAATTCTGACATATTTACATTCATTCCTTTCCCACCTAACTATCCACACATTTGTTGAAGTCTCCTAATGCATCTTTAATCTGCGTATCCCTCCAACACCTTGTCGACTTAGAGTTCTAAGTTGCAGAAAGATTGAAATTTGACTGTAAATAATAAAACATAAAGAAATAAAAACATACAGAGTATGTATATATCACAGTACTCTTCCCTGAATTCATCCATGGCATAGGCATGTTCTTCGTGTTCTTCTTTGAGACCGTTTGGTGAATCAATTTGGTACAATGGCATAGTTGCCATCTAATCATCAAACACCTTGTGTCCTCATCTCTAATCCTTTCTCAAATTTGGAGGAATCAAATCCTTCACTTCGTTGAAGAACTGTAACCAGAAAGAATGTGAGCGGACAGGAATCTACCTGTACGATCAACTTTGAAAAGGCATTGGGAGTAGAGAGTGTAGTCATATTGGCACAATAAAAGGTGGAAAGCAAAGGCTCATATAGACAAAAAATACTAAAAACAATAATACTACCTTGCAAGTGATTCCTGAAATTGATGAACTCTTTTTTCAATTTGTACCAACTCCAGATCCTTTTCTTCACTTGGTTTTAACGCTTCTGCACACGTGCTTCCAAATTCATATCCCTCCTATTTTCTGATTGCAATTGAACCTATCAAAAAGTAACTGCAAAGTCACATATGAGTTTAGAAAGATAGAAAAACATTTTCAATCTTCATACTTTTCAAAGAGGATCATCAAACTCTGGCCATCAACTAACCTTAAAGTTTTCAGCTTCTTCAACATATTTTGATTTAGAAGCATATTATAAGAAAACTATTTCCTAATCAGTCATGATTCATAAATACTTTTAAAAAAGCCTAATTGGTAACCATGTGCACAAATAAAAGTAAACAATGAATGAACGTAATAATTAATGTGATTAATTTGTAAGAATGAGAAGTAGTATTTAATGAAATGTGCTATTAGCTGTATTTATTCAACAAATTAGAGATCACTTCAAAAGAGAAACTTTCAGTTCGCACTTTCACTTTGTACCTTAAACTCACTTAAGCAATGAAAGATAAAAACAGAAAAAGCTAACCATTTACATAAAATCAAACAGAGAATGAGAAGCAATGCCAAATGAGACATGGCTTCGAGCCTTTCCTAGTTGTTGCTACGAATCAAAGTTTACCAAATTCTTCTTCTGAGTGGTGAAACAAAGAAGGCCATCATAATTCATATTCCTACACACTGAACATATATCCTTTTAAAAAGTACTACTTAAATATTATTCTAGAATATCCCATAAGAATTTTATACTGTAGATATTTTTAAGCATTAAAATAAATGAAGGCAATGAAATAGCTTGAATTCTGGATTCTCAAAATTTGTAAAAGAAAAATATAAACTTAAAGTTAAGCAAATACTTGAAAATGACTTAAGGTGCTTGATGAATGCAAATACCTAACATTATTGAAAATAAAGTAATTCTCATAATTACAATCACTGTGATAGAAAAATTAAGAAAAAGTGTTCAAAACTGTGTAATTTTTTTTGTTGTAAAGATTGATACAAATGTTGGTTCCTAGAATCATATTACCCAATTTGACATGAAATGTATTACGATCTCAATAGAAATAAATTGAAACAAATCATATTAATTTGTGTGAAGATAATACTACATATATCCAAGGTTTTGAAAGGCGAAAACTAGCCTCGAGGCGGTGAAGCAAAATGCCTTGAGGCGTAAGCCTCGAGGCGGAACGAGGCGTAAGCCTCATAATAATACTAAAATATGTACACCGAGGTAAAACGAAATGCATAATCCATTTTTATGTTAAATAAATGATAAAATCATAATTCCTGAATTTTACAAAAAATGATACCCTATCTTAATTTTTAAAACACAAATAAAAAATAGAATTATAAAGATTAAACACAGTAACATAAACACAAATGTCTCAAATCCATCTCCAAACCTTATAAATATTAAATATGGACAAAAGTTCACGCAAAAAAAAGTTACATCATTCTTTGAAGTTTGAACCGAATTTAAAAGAGGGAGAGGGATGTTGGAAAAGAAGGAACCGGAAAAATTAAAAGCTGAAAGAAGAAGATGAAAGAAATAGAAGATAAGCTATTAAATATGAAGTAATTGCCTTAGCGGTTACCACAAGAGTGAAGTTGTGCCATTGAAGTCTGAAGATGGAGAGAAGTACGGTTGAAGATGGAGAGACGAAAGGTGACGCAAAAAGTCTTGGAAAGAAGTGATAATTATCTACTAGGTTTATTAAGTTTTTCTTAAGAAACTTTATAATGCATTGGCCCAAAAGAGTTTTTGTAAAAGAGGCCCAATAGCCTTTTAAAAGTAACCCTTATAATTGCTGAAATTCTTATTAAAAGTGAGGCTTACGCCTCGGTTACGCCTTACCGCCTCAGACCGCCTCGGACCGCCTCAACATTGTGAGGCGTACGCCTCAGGTGTCCCTACTGAGGCTTAAGCCTCAAAGGCGAAATGCAACCGCCTTACCGCCTCACCGCCTCGAGGCGGACCGCCTCGGTCGCCTTTTAAAACCATGCATATATCATTAAATATACCTCCCTATCACCTTCATCTTCACCAACCATCATCTTCATCAAGACACATGCTCTTCTTCTTTAAGCCCTGATGGTTTTTCTGTGCGGGTTCGTAGACATTTGCTGGGACGGTGTTTTCTTCTTTCTCTTGCTTCAAGTCATCAAGCACTAATGGAAGAAACATGAAAACTAAAGAAGATGATTTGGAATCTGCTCACCTCATATATGTAAGACATCTTCTATGTAACCACCTATTGAATCCATTTCCTATAAGATATCGAAAACAAAATCTAAAATTAGTCGTCAATATTAAGTATAACCACCCACTCTACAATAATATGACTTCTTAGAGTGTCTGGTATCGTTATTAGATTTATTCAAAGGCCAAGTAAAAGTTTTCAAAACACATAAAGAAATAAAAAGCTCAAAACCTCAAAAGAAAAAATGATGCATGGATAGATACGTAGATATTATTACATAGGTAGGTTCCATGGAGTGCAAGCTCAGACAAACAATATAATGAAGCAATTCAAGGATAAACACACCGGCAAGATACAAATCAAGAGGTTGCCTCATCAAGATAAGTTCAGTTCTTCCTTGCTCTTTCAACCCAAAATACTCTTAAATCTCTTGCAAGAAGCTTCATATATAACAAACTTTATGAACATCAAAAGTTATTGTCAACTGTAAAGGCCATTGACTACAATATAGAAGGAACCTGCACAATAATCACAAAATTGAATTAAATAGGAGAAAATTATAGGCAGGAAAATAAATATTCAAGCATGCACAACTATAAAAGCAAATGCTCAAAGTTTAAGGCAGTTATAATAAAAAGATACAAACAACACTATGGAAGAGCCAAAGCGGGTTATCACACTGCCAGATTGAAAAGCATGCAACTTTTTTCTAATACTGTTTGGAATCCCAAGTGATAATCCAACTTTATCTTTGTTTTCTAGATTAGAATCCCAAGTGCTAACCCTCCGAGTTCCATTTCTACACAAAAATAGAACTATGTAGAAGTCATGCATGTTGCTCAAATTTTTCAATAGCAGCAACCTTTGGATTTAACTTTGCAACCTAATGGCCCTTTGTCTTTAACTTCTTCTCCAATATTTGCCTCTCCCTCAAGTCTAAAAGCACTTGAAAAAGAATTACAAATCAGAATTTTAACCTTAGTTTTCTACTTGTGATTGGAGGATACAGAGAAGATTAGCATGCCCTGTGCAAGGATAACACAGACAAATTGAGAAATGGTCTGTTTTTTTACTGATTTTTCTATGCCTTTGTACTGTGTTTGGGTTTCAACCTACGGATTTTGGATATTGAATCCATTTAATAATATGCTAATTTAAAAAAATATTTCTTGTGATTAAAAATCAAGAAAAATATAACACGCCTGACGCCAAAAATGGATTGATTAGTGTGTATTTCAGGAAATGGATCTAAACAAACCCTATACTTATTTTGAGATGAAGCTACAAAATTGATTACATTAACAGGAAATTGATATGAAAATATATAGGAGTATAGATGGATTGAAACCTATTAATGAAAAAAATATATGAAGAAGTTGATAAAATTTGGATGTACTGTACCCGTTAGGTCAAAGTCGAGCAATGTTCTGATCGATTAATAACGAAAACCTCCACTTTCTCCTTCTTTCTCAAGCTGCAATTTCCGATCGATTAAGAACTTCAAATACGATGCATGTCTGGTTAAAAAGTCCTGGATCTGGATGTGCTTTAGTGGGTGTTTAAGACCTGGACTGCGGTTTTTAACCAAATATTTAACAGCAACCGACGTCGTATTGGTCATAGCACAACTGAGCGGGAAATTTTTCATGCTGCTGTTGTAAATAGGAGGACTAGAGAATAGAGAGAAAGAATATCAACAACAATTTTTTTTTTCTGGAAAAAGAAAATGAAACAAATTTGTTCGACCGGAAAACAAGAACAAAGTTACAGAACCACTGGGATGGAGACGACTCATTTGGATGGGCATGATGTGTTTACATAATCACATTCTGAATTTATATTTGTATGTGTGCATATGTTGAAACTTTAAATGTCTATTTTCTTAGCATTACTCTTTCTGGTATTTTAAATACTTCGCAATTTATGTTGCTTATTTGGATTGATTTGGTCTTTTTTGGGAATAGTGAAATTTTATTTAGCATTTCTATTAATCTTCACCTATCTTTTTTAGAACAGTGTATTATATAAAAATGGCAGAACTTATAATTAATGGCAACGGACATGCTGATTTATACGATGACGAGGACGACGAGGAAAGATTGCCTGTATCATTAGGTTTTGTGGAGAAGAAGAAGAATTCATGGTCTCTACTCAGACACTTGTTCCCTAGCAAAGCTGGGGGTACTCCGGTATGTTTTGTACACAACTGTTACAAAGTACGGAGTAGAATTTTGTAATGCGAGTATTTTATGTGTTATAGTTTGGGATTTGTGCAAATACAGGCTTGGTTGGACCCTGTTAACTTGCCTTCAGGGAAGGCTTGTGCCTGCGACTTTTGTGGTGAGCCTTTGCAATTCATGCTACAGGTATATAAGATTTCTTTCCTGTAAGTAGATATTCTTGAATATTATCTCACATATAAACTGCTTGGTTTTCTCTTCCCTCAGCATTTTTCCTGCAAACACACACACACACACACATTGCTGCATCATAGATTAAGTGAAAAAGCATGTGGCTGACAAGAATGATGATGAAACATTTTGAGTTTAGCTTTTTATATTAAAGAAAAGCCTATTTAGCCTTCACAGTTTATCAATGTCTCCATCCACTTCTTATTGAAACATAACATGATCCTAGGCATAGTTTGTTGGAACTGGAAGGCAGAGAACAAAAAAACAAAGACTTCAAAGTAGATATAGAACTGAGAAGGAAGAACTAATTTTTATTCACTGATCTGTAGAGCTATTTATAGAGCTCTAAACATAAAAACAGACGGAGATAAACTTCAACAAATTAGAGATCCTAAAAATCCTCTCCACTAACCATGACTTATTCCACTAACAGTAGTACCAAAATAATAGGAATAATGAAAATAACCCACAAGGACTTAGTCTATGATGAGCTGTCAATTATGAATCAACAAACTTTAATCAACATTCCCCCTTGATTCATAGTTGCATACTCCGAGCATATTTCTGAACTTGACGTGCTTCTGTGAGGACAATGATTTGGTGAAAATATCAGCCAAGTTCTCTAAACTGCTGCAAAATTTCAAAGAGATGAGCCCTTTTTTAATCAAATCTCTTATGAAGTGAAACTTAATTTCGATGTGTTTCGTTCTCCCATGCATAACCGGATTCTTTGCAATCGCAATAGCTGATCGATTATCACAAAAAATTTCAGTAGCCTTCGTCTGCTCTTGCTCCAAGTCAGCTAGAAGCCTTCTCAGCCATACTCCCTGGCATGCCGAAGAAGTAGCAGCCACATACTCTGCCTCTGCCGTCGAAAGTGCTGTTACACCTTGCTTCTTGGAGCTCCACGTCACAGCTCCTGACCCAAGATTAAAAACGAAGCCTGAAGTACTTCGCCTATCAACTCAAATTTATCAACATTTGAGTACCAAATACCGAAATCTTGAGTTCCAGCTATATAGCGTAGAATCTTTTTTGCAGCTCCATAATGTTGACGTGTTGGATTGTGCATAAATCGGGAAACCATACCAACGGCGAAGGCAATATCGGGTCTCGTATGCGTTAAATAAATCAAGCCTCCAACTAGACTACGAAAGCTTACTGCATCAGCTTTCTCTGTACCATCTTCCTGCTGCAATTTTTCATTCATATTCATGGGAGTAATTGCAGCTTTGCAATTTTTCATATTAAAGCGTTTGAGAAGATCCTCGGCATATTTTTTCTGGGAGACGAACACTCCATCTTCTCCTTGCTTAATTTCCAACCCAAGAAAATAACTAAGCAGCCCCAAATCTGTCATCTCAAACATATTCATCATACTCTCTTTGAACTCATGAACAAGAGAGTCAGATGATCCCATATAGATGATATCATCAACATATACACAAACAAGAAGCAAACTACTTTTACCTCCCTTCTTTGCATACAACGTAGGCTCATTAGCACTTCTGTCAAATCCATTTTGTTGGAAAAATGAGTCAAGCTTGCTGTACCATGCTCGCGGAGCTTGCTTCAATCCGTATAAGGCTTTCTTCAACCTATAAACCTTATCCTCCATTCCTTCAACGACAAATCCTTCCGGCTGCATGACATAGACTTCCTCCTCCAAGTCTCCGTTTAGAAACGCAGACTTAACATCAAGTTGATAGAGAGGCCACTTAAGATGAGCAGCCAAGGCCAAAAACATTCTCACCGTTTCAAACCGAGCAACGGGAGAGAACGTTTCCTCGTAGTCGATGCCTTGTTGTTGAGCATACCCTTTGACCACCAAACGAGCCTTGTGTTTCTGTACACTCCCATCCGCATTATACTTTGTCTTGAACACCCACTTCAAGCCAATTGCACCTTTATCTTCCGGCAAATCTACGAGCGTCCAAGTGCCATTCTTTTCGATTGCTCCAATCTCTTCCTTCATTGCCTTTTGCCACTTTTCTTCTCTGGCAGCTTCATGGAATCGACTAGGATCTGCAACCATAAAGGCAAAAGTACATCTCTCATATATTTCAGTTAGAGACCTATAGCCTCGTGGAGGTGTTGTTTCGAGAGATGATGAGCTGCTTGACGAAGCAGGTGTACTTGTGTTTGGTGAGGTGTGAGGCGTAGTTGGAGGAGTAGAGTTTGGAGTAGTATTTGGTGAGTTGGTGGGGCTGTTATGTGGTGAATTCTCACAAGAATCTGCATCACTTGAGTCCAGCGGAAAGAGAGTATATGAATCATCTTGCTTGGTCTCCCAATCCCAACAAGCATCTTCATGGAAAATGACGTCTCTGCTGATGATAACTTTGCCACTAAGAGGGTTATATAGCTTGTATGCTTTGGATTGACAAGAGTATCCAATGAAGATACACTTCACAGATTTCTCGTCGAGCTTTCGACGATTTTGAGAGCTCACCAAACCATAAGCTACGCATCCAAAAACCTTTAAATGGCTCACCGTTGGTTTCGTACCTCCCCAAGCTTCATATGGAGTGCGATTTAAGACAGCTTTTGTAGGAGATATATTCAGCAAATATACAGCTGTTGCAACTGCTTCTGCCCACAACGAGTTTGGAAGCTGCTTCGCCTTCAACATGCTTCTCGCCATCTCTACAACGGTGCGATTTTTCCTCTCAGCCACACCATTCTGCTCCGGCGTATATGGTGCTGTCAATTCCCTGTGTATTCCGTTAGCTTTGCAAAAATGATTAAAATCATTAGAGCAAAACTCACCACCTCTGTCTGTACGTAGAACCTTGATGCTATTCTCACTTTGCTTTTCCACCATCGCCTTGAAATTTTTGAAGTTCTCAAAGGCTTCGGATTTATTTTCCAGAAAATAAACTCAACTCATGCGACTATAGTCATCCGTAAGTAGGAAGAAATATCGACTTCCACCCATGGACTCCGTATTCACAGGCCCGCAAAATCAGCATGAATGAGCTCAAGACATTTAGAAGCTCTCCAAGCGACACCGGTAGGAAACGATTTCCTCGTTTGTTTCCCATAAATACATCCCTCACATAATAAATCAAAAACATCAATTTTAGGCAGCCCTAGAACCATACCTTTCTCACTTAGAAGCTTTAACCCATTGGCGTTGAGATGTCCATATCGTTGATGCCACAGCTTCGACGCCTCTTGTGTGCCGGAAACAAGAGCGTATTTGTCTACACTTGAAATTCGCAGCGGAAACATCTTATTCCCTGTCATGCAAACCTTTGCAATGATTTGCCCAGATTTCTTTTCTTTGATGACACAAGAGTTATCTTCGAAGAATACCATATATCCAGTGCTCATCAATTGCCCCACACTCAATAGATTATATGCCAATTTTGGAATAAAATAGACATCATGAATGTGGTTTAATATACCATGGCAATTCTTTACTGCTACAACACCTTTACCTTCTATTTGAATGGCATTGTTGTTGCCTAGCTTGACCTCGGACTTGTAAGATTCGTCAAGCTCTTTGAACATCTCCTTGTTGAAACACATGTGATTCGAGCAGCCGCTATCTACGAACCACACATCGTTGGGCATTTCCACGGAGTCTGCAACTGCCATGAATAACTTGTTTTCATCTTCTTCTTGAACATAATTTGCTTGCTTCTCCTTGGACCAACAATCTGCTTTCACGTGCCCATATTTGCTGCAATTATAGCACTGAATATGGCTCTTGTCGCCTTGCTGTCCACCTTTTGCACCTGATCGACCGCCACAACCTCGACCTTGACCACGCCCACGACCTCGGAGACCTCCTCTGCCTCGTCCTCTTGCTGTAGAGAATTCCTTTTGATTGGAGGATTCACCTTTCACTTGAAAAGCTTTTTCATCAGACTTTTCAAATGATCGGTTAATCCTTGACTCGTGGGCTTGAAGAGATCCCATCAGTTCTTCGAACGAAAAAACCGATAGATCCTTCGATTCTTCAATCACAGCTACAACATGATCAAACTTTGGAGTCAAGCTTCTGAGTACCTTCTCGACGATGGTCTGGTCTGTGATCTTTTCTCCGCAAGATCGCATTTGACTAACTATTGTCATTGCCCTCGACAAAAAATCAGCCACTGATTCTCCATTCTTCATGATCATCGTTTCAAAGTCACGTCGGAGTGATTGCAATCTCACAACGATGACTTTTGAGTCTCCTTTGAATTCTTTCTGCAAGATTGACCATGCTTGCTTTGAGTTGGTTGCCGTTGCAATTCGGGAGAAGACGTTGTCGTGGACTGCTTGCTGGATGATCGCCAACGCCTTCGAATCTTTCTTCTTGTTCTCCCGCAATCTGTTCGCCTCGTCGGGATCTGCGTATCCCAGTTCTACAAAGTCCCACAGATCCTGAGACTTTAGTAGAGTCTTCATCCGAATACTCCAGTATTCGTAGCCTTCTCCCTTAAAGATTGGTATGAGAGGCTGTGAAGCACTCATTGAACTCCCGTTGCTGGCCATCGGAAAGGAACCAGGTGCTCCGATACCACAAATGTTGGAACTGGAAGGCAGAGAACAAAAAAACAAAGACTTCAAAGTAGATATAGAACTGAGAAGGAAGAACTAATTTTTATTCACTGATCTGTAGAGCTATTTATAGAGCTCTAAACATAAAAACAGACGGAGATAAACTTCAACAAATTAGAGATCCTAAAAATCCTCTCCACTAACCATGACTTATTCCACTAACAGTAGTACCAAAATAATAGGAATAATGAAAATAACCCACAAGGACTTAGTCTATGATGAGCTGTCAATTATGAATCAACAAACTTTAATCAACATAGTTTTCACAGCGTCACCTAGGCATAGAGAGTATGGCATCCACATAGAGTCAATTACTTGTTGAGTCAGGATCTAGCAGTAAACATTGACTAATATGAAGCAAAGAGTGGAGTAGAAAAACCTAAGCAACAGAGTCAAACCTTGCATTATACATTGCTTTCATGTGTCCGGGGCTTTCCGCCTTTTGCTGGTCACTGCTTCTCACTTGCAATCAGGGCTACCTGTTTGTACCTCCTCATCTTTTTTTTTTCATTTTCATTTTGTTTTTTTCTTTGTTTTTGTTTCAGTTGTCCACAACTGGTGCCTTCCTTTTTATTACCATTTGCCATCTATTTGTTTTAAATTTTAATTCAGTTTGTGTGATCTTCTTTGTTTTATGTTAGTGGTGCTTTTACTTATTACTTGGTTTTGTATATTCAGAGTATGGGGATTTTGAAGTTTGTATTTTTTGAATTACAATATCTTATACGGAGTATGATATATTTATATTAAAGTTATTATCTTTATAGTTATGACTTTTCGCATAATTCTTGCCTAAGCGTCATGGCTGGTGGTTGGTTGTTCCTTCACCTGGACTTCGTGATAACCTTAATCCTAGGTAGAAAAGCCATCGTCACAACCTTGGTATCAAACCTCATTCATTCTTATAGGCTGTTATAGAGGCATGTAGTATATAATAACTCATGGTGTGAGGAAATAGAGAATAATCGACATAGATACTTGTGCTATTGATATTATATTTAACTTCATTGTGCAGGTTTATGCACCACTAAAGGAAAATGTTTCAACATTTCATCGTACACTGTTTGTCTTCATGTGTCCATCAATGACTTGTCTGCTTCAAGACCAACATGAGCAGTGGAAACGACACCCAGAAAAGGCATTACGCAGGTATCATTCATTCATTTGCAATCTTATTCTGCCCACTAAGTTAACCTTTATGCTCCGATCTTCTAACTTCGATGGCTTATTATGATTGAATAGTGTTAAGGTTTTTCGCTGCCAAATGCCTCGTCTTAACTCATTTTATTCAAGTGAGCCTCCAAATTATGATGGGACAGATAAACCATCTGGAGATGGAGGTAATTCAATGCTTTGCTTGAACAACCCCTGCATTAGCATATGTTGTAAATCATTGCTGCTGGTAACCAGATTTTTCGGTTTTTGTGGGCTTCCACCTAGTCATCTGATTTCATTAAACTGTTTCATGATGTTCCAACGGTTTCATGCCTTTTAGGAATTGTGCATTGTGTATATATGTCATCCATCCACTGATTTTTTCTGTATTTTGGCTCTGATGCCATGGTATCTTGCAGCTGCACTTTGTAGTTGGTGTGGTTCATGGAGAGGAGATAAAGTTTGTAGTGGCTGCAAAACAGTGCGTTATTGTTCTGAGAAACACCAGGTCAGTTGATATTATAGGTTTTGTTTTTCTCATTTCGTTCTCACTCTGTTTTTAACTCTCTTGGTGTGTGTGCTTGCTGTTTTTCTTTGAGCTTATAACTAAATGAGAGCTAACTTGAGTCTCCTGCTTCTTTTTCAGGCAGCTCATTGGCAATCAGGACATAAGAAGCGCTGTTTCTCAAGCATTTTACTGATTGAATCTAGTTCTAATGGTACAGCTGCAAATATGTCAATAGGTAATAATGATAGATGCCTAGAGTGGCTTATTAAGAACTACAATTGCCTTATCTTTATTCTTTTGCTCTTCATGCTCATGTTATGAACTTATGATTGAGTGTGAATTACTACGAGCTCGCGCCATGAGTGAAACTTTGTGAACAAAATTTTTCTTTGCAGTTCAATAAAAGTTGATACGAATACCCGTGAAACCTGGTTTCAACTAATATTGCAACGATAGAGAAATCTCTTGTAGTAATTTTTTTATGATGCGGAGTTTAATCATTACACTCAGATGATTTGATTTGCGAGCAGCTGTGAGCAAATCTCTCTGGCCGGAGTATGAGATCTTAGATGAAGATGAAAGTGATGAGATATGTAATGATGATGATGCACATTCCGCATCTCTGGTTTCTTCAAGCCAAGAAGACGAAACATACAATTCGCTCTTAGACTTTGAGGTAGACGTTTGTAGTATCATATTTGAAATAACCTTTTTGTAGAAGCTGTATATAATATGATATTTGGTCACCAGGGGGATGACGACAAGAGGAGTTGGGCCTCTTTCCAGGAGAGGATATCACTTGCCCCTGACCAAGTTTTGAGGTACCAGATTCTTTTAGTTTTATAATGTGCTTTTGAAGGCACTAGCAATCTTTATATATTCCTTACAAATCGAGTTTTGATCGTTGGCCTATTTGCCGAATAGGAGCAGTTAACAGGTTGTATTACCAGATTTGGCAAAAGTGCAAAACGCTCATCCTTTCAACATTTTACCAAACAATAATTCAAAACACTTATTTACTGAACACCTCAGCTAGCATTATAACCAATAAAAATGCTCTTTTGGTTCAAAGTGCAAAAAAAGGTGCATGTTGCACGGTTAAAGAACTCAGTTTTTCCTCTCACTCTGCTTCTATCACTGTATTATAACTACTTCATCACTGTATTTTATCTCGGTCGCCCCAAAATAGGTACTGTCGATACGACAAAGCAAAACCTTTGTGGCCCATGTCAAGTGGCCAGCCATCAAGCGGCGACATTCCAAAATGCAGCTACTGTGGTACCCGTCGAGCCTTTGAATTTCAGGTGAGTAATTTAAATCTTGATTGTATATGCCCTGTAGCTAGCTAGTCACTACTTTGAAATATCACATTGTGTTAGTTGGGAATCATTTTTTTTTTCTTTTTCCTTTTTGCAGATTTTGCCCCAACTTCTTTACTATTTCGACGTGAAAAACGACAAGAATTCTCTCGATTGGGCAACTGTGGTTGTGTACACGTGTGAAGCGTCGTGTGACGGAGTTGGGGCTTACAAAGAGGAGTTTGCTTGGGTTCAAGTTGCATCGCAGTCGTCGAATACTTAAAATCAATAGAATCCCGCCTCCATTGGAAGTGATAATTTTTAATTGAGTGAGAAATAAATTCGACATCGGCATAACTTTGGCTCTCTTAAATGGGAGGTCAAAGGTTCGATTCCAGTTGGGAAATTGACTTTTCATGCTTTTGTAAGTTGGAAAAGTATGGGATAAATAATATTTTAATAGAGCAACTATGACTAATTTTTTTTTAAAAAGTACACGTTCCGTTGCTCTCTAAGCGGTAAACACGGACATTTTTGTTAGTTTTTAATTTCTGTATCGTTGAGATCGAAGCTCTCTTTGCAATTTCCTTGAATTCAAAAATTTGTGAGCATTCCTTTTTTCGATTAGTGAACTTTAATGTTTTCTCTAGTGTCTAATGATCGTGTACATTGTGAATACTTGTTTGTATTTACTGAAACAACAATTTGCATTTAAGAGACACTCCCTCCTTTCCTCTTTAAATTGTTTGTTTCAATTTTCTTGTCGAATGTTTGCCAAAAAATATTAAAAATGATATATTAATTTGTTTTTATATTATAGCAAGTCAAATATTCAACATGGAAAGTAAAATGAATATTTACAAAATTAAATGATTGAAGGAATAAATCATTTGTGTTGTAATTTCACTAGTGCTTTATTAATCATAGATTGAGTTATTTATAGATACATGTGAGGAGGTAAGGCTGCGTTCTGTTCGCTTGATCTGATTTGATTTTTTGAAGTTCTGATCTGATTTCATTTTATCTGATCTGATTGGATATGATTTGATCTGATCTGATGTGAACCGATTGGATTTGATTGGATGTAATTTGATACAGAGTATAAATTTGATTTAAATTAAAATTAAAATTGAATTTAAAATTATTATTATAGTTATAATAATAATAATAGAAATAATAATTTTAAGAATAATAGTAATAAATATAATAATAGTAATAAAATGGTAATAATAATAATACTCCCTCCGTCCCAGAAAGAATGCCACAGTTACTATTCTGGCCTCTCAATAACTTTTGTTTGTTTACTCGTTTTGATTGACCATTTGATAAAATAAAATATTCTTGTCGCATCTTGTTTTGTAGAACTTTTCATATACTTTTGAATGATGTAATTTTTACTTTTTATTACATTACCAATTTAAAATTAAAGAGATTCTAAAAGAGATGATATTTTGCACGTCGTTCGAAGTGTTGCAAATAAATTGGGTAACTATAATAATGATAGTAACAATAATAGAAATAGGGGAAGGTTCCCATGACATTGGGAACCAATGTCATGGGATGACCCAGGGGCGCTCCGGTGCCCCGTTCGTAAAATTGACGGTTCTTACCCCTCCCTCATTCACTATATACTAACAATACTAGTATGTATGGAACGTCGAAAAAGTCTTTTCAAGCATCTCTTAAACAGTTATTGGTTCTCTGCATAACTTCAGAACAGAGGTGATGTTGAAAAAGTGCATAATTGCACTTAGATACCGATTTATAATCTTGTAGTCTTATATGGAGCCATTCATAACGAGCTTTTGCCCGTAAGATCAACTTCTGGTGATTAAAACGCTCTTAAAATGCTATTCCACAATTTGAAGAGATCCTCAATGGTGAGATACTACATACTAGCTCCCTCTTTAGGTCTTTGTGGAGGTGATGACAGAGGAATATCATGGCCTTTGCCATATCTTGAACGGAAGCTTCATTTCCTTCAGAAATTGTGTTTCCCAGATTCTTCGCCGCGAGATGAATTTTAGAGCCTAAAGTCCATGTGAGAAATTTCCCCACGGATACATCGAGTTCGAGAAAAAGGCAACTTAGAATATGTAAAAATACATCCTTGGATCGGAGAACTTCAGGTTCTAGTTTGCAAGAACTAATGGTTCATCATTTTTCGGAAAAAAATTCAAGTTGATTTTTTATGTAGTTTCAAGACTTTGAAAAAAAACTTTGAACTTCTTCAAAGCGGAAAAAAAGAGAAAAAAAATCATGACTCATAAAAAGTAAAAATGATTGTATTTTCAATGGTCCATATCCAAATAAATTTAGATGCCATGGGTGCTTATGGTATCTTAATTTACATATGAACCTCACCCCTCATATGATAAAACATGATAAAATTTGACACTTCTTTTGAAAATCCTCTTTTATAGGTCATGTATACATAAACAAAAAAATATTTATCACATTTTGTGATCAGATAATAAATATGTATTTTTCACATGAACAATATGTCAATTTTTTTTGTACAATCACAACTTTGAGAATCATTTTAAATAGGTATATGGCTAAAAATCCAACAATCACTAATCCATGTACACAATCAACAAAAAAATGTTTTCTATGGGCACAGAAGGTAAGTCGATGTTATTTTATTTTTGTTATAACCTCTATTTTGTCTATAAACTTTTATACGCAAGTCATTACTTGACAAGTAATACAGAATATGTGTTTGGAAATTTCAAGAACTTTCCAACGATACCAATATTACATATATAATGTAGACATTATGCCTCCCTTATGTTTTTGCCCAAATACTTTTGAATTGTAAAAATTATGTTTTTTATGATCAATTACTTTAAGCTTGTATTGCATATTAATAAAATGAAGTCAAATTTTGAAAGTTCTCAACATGATAAATTTATTTGAATTATTTTTATACTAATATACATTACAATTTTTTTCCTATTTGAAGTCCAAAATTCACCAAATTTGACTTGAAAAAATCAAACTGGATGAATAAATTACAACAGAGGTAGCAATTTAACAAAATTATATATCTAGATAAAATCAAATGCTACTCCGTATTATATTTAAATTGTTATTCAATACTCCTTTCGGATCAGTGTATATACTATATTGCAGTCAACCAGGATTGACCTTTAACGTATAATTAAATAAAAATTACACAGTACATGATACATTAATTGGATAAAATAATATTTTGAAATTATTTTGAAATATTAAATTAGTAAAATTTTATATCATTATCTTCTATAAACTCTATTTAATAACGGTTCGGTTACGTTTTATAGCCACTCACTTTGAGTGGCCACGGAAGATACTGTTCCAACTGGAATGTCTACGGTGTCCGATTTGTAAAATTGATATGTCCTACCCTCCTATCCTTCCCGTTAAACAACCCCCCACAAGTGTCGACTCGACTCATCCTCCAAAACATGTCAATTACGCCCCTGCAAGTTTAGTTGACTTTGACATCAAAGTCATCTAAACTTATGGGGTGCAATTATCGTAGGTGGGGAGAAGAGTTGAGGTCAACACTTGGTGAAGGGTTAAGAGGAGTAAGAACTGTTGGGATTTTAAGCGCGTAAGATACCGAAAAATATTGAGAACACCAGAAAAATGAGAGAACAAACACAAAAAGAATATATGAGAGAAAAAATTATATTTCCACTATTTCAGGACAATATACAAAAAACTCTCCCCTGTTTACAAGACTAAATTCCAGACACTTATAAACAAATATTTCCACATCCTATACCCGGATGTATTTTTTCGAGTAACTAAAACCAGTTACTTCCTACACTCACCCACACTCACCAAGACCCCCTGGATTTTCCCGGTGGTATTCTTGTGTAGAATTCCTCCCATGTTTCTCTCTCTACCTTGGTGGTGTGTAAAGGGCAAAGAGAACCATACCCAATCAATTTGCTATAGGAGAGAACCCAATCACATGCATGCATGTTGGATGTATCCACCATCCATATCTTCATTTTTTATCTTCTTTGTCCTCTTTCTTATTTCCTTTTTTTTCTTTTCTTTTTTTCTTTTGATTATTAATCAATTTCCCAACAAACTCCACCTTGATTAAATAATCAAAAAAAAAACTTTGTAGCTCCACCTCACTTCTTCAGTGAGATCACCGCTACTCTGGGAAAAAAAATTATCCTTGGCGCCATCTCAGTCTGCTCCATCGAGATTACCGCTGCCAACCTCAAAGAAGAAGAAAAATCCTCATGGCTCCACCTTGGTCCAACCACCAAGATCACTACCACCTTGAAAACGTTTTCATGCCCTATCTTGCTCAATACTGCAAGCTCTCCGCAACCATGTGTTGCCTTCGTGGCTCCACCTTGCTCAATATACCACAAGATCCCCCGCCACTTCCAGTTTTCATTGTACCCTTGACTCCATCTCAACAAATTTCGTCAAGATCCCTGCCACTACTTTAGCTCCCTAGAGTTTTAACCCTCCATCCTGAGCTAGAAAAAATGACAACTCGCCTTTGTGAACATTCTCTAAGACCACCACCTCTAGCAGTTAGCTTCTTTCGATCTGCTCATCTTGCACCGCCGCAGAAACACCTGTGGAACACGCTGCCCGACCTCTTCTTGCCGGGAAGACTTTCGACACAAGACATAAACCGCAGTTTTCAACTCCGCTAGACCACCGATCTCCTCAAGTCCTCTTCCAGCACCATACTTCACAAAGCTAGCATGCCGCTTCGTACATGGTCCTCATGCCATCCACTTTGTTCTTGAAGTCCCATGGTCGCCCTCTGGCCAAAACGGACCAGTCCTTAGGTTCTCAAAATTTCTCCTTTTACCACTTACAAATCCCTCCTGCCCAGCACAACCAAGCTCCGATACCAATTGTTGGGATTTTAAGCGCGTAAGATACCAAAAAAATATTGAGAACACCATAAAAATGAGAGAACAAACACAAGAAGAATATATGAGAGAAAAAATTATATTTCCACTATTTCAGGACAATATACAAAAAAACTCTCCCCTGTTTACAAGACTAAATTCTAGACACTTATAAATAGATCTTTCCACATCCTATACCCGGATGTATTTTTCCGAGTAACTAAAACCAGTTACTTCCTACACTCACCCACACTCACCAAGACCCCCTGGATTTTCCCGGTGGTATTCTTGTGTAGAATTCCTCCCATGTTTCTCTCTCTACCTTGGTGGTGTGTAAAACCCACACTCACACTTGCATTAAGAAAACCATGGCATAAGATCTCTTTGGTAAGTTTTGGAGATATGAATCAGCTATATTTTATATAAAAAAAGGGGAATATTATCTTAATGTTTTCCCGGTCATACGTGAGACTCATATATGAAAAGTGTTGAGAACACAAATAGTGGTTTAACTATTTTGCCTCAATTTTTTTCCTTCCATTTTAAGTAGGTTTTCATTTTTATTTAAATGCTGCACCATTTAGATATTTAAATTAAATTAAATTAAATAGTAGTGAACTACAAGGGAATTATAGTATGGAAATAAAATGCGGTACCATTTAAATATGAAAATAAAATAAAAAACTAAAAATTAATAAAGTATGGGTGGGATTAGAATGTTTATTTCAAAAAAACTACTAATTAATGATTTATTTCAA